GCAACACGCTCTCTGTCCTCAGGGGTAGCGTCAAGTCCTAGGGTAGCAGGAGCGGGGGGCGCGGGGAGGTCACTGGATGTGTGCGCCCATAGAGACTCGTTTGCCTGCACCTGCGCCCATAGACACTCTCTAGGAGACGCTGCGCACGCTGGAGCCAGACAGAGAACTCGAGGGGCCTACCCTCGGCGTCAAAGCGAATGACCCTAGGGGTCGCCATAGCGAAAGCAGAAACGGCGGCGTCAAAACGAAGGACCCTACAAGGCCGGCACGGCGAGCTCTAAGGGCAGGCCCGCAACGAGCGCAACGGGAAGAGGCGGCACGCGGAAGAACGCAGGCCCACGGCGGGCTCAAAGGGCAGGGCCGCGGCAGGCTCTAGGGGCAAGCGTGGCAGGTGGTACGGGCAGGCGCAGCGGGTGTCACGGGGAGAGACGGCGGGCAGCGAGTGCAGGCCCGCGGTGGGCGCAAAACGCAGGCACGGCGGGCGCAAGGGGCGGGCCCGCGGCGGGCGTAGCTGACAGGCGCGGCAGCGGCGAACGGGCGGGCCCGTGGCGGGCCTAACGAGCGGGCGCAGCGGCGGGTGAAACGGGCGGGCGCGGCGGCGTGAAGGGAGGGGCCGCGGCGGGCCTAACGAGCAGGCGAGGCGGAGGGCTAACGGGCAGGCGCGGCGGCGCGAAGGGAGGGCCCGCGGCAGGCCTAACGGGCAGGCGCGACGGCGGGCCTAACGGGCAGGCGCGGCGGCGCGAAGGGAGGGCCCGCGGCGGGCTTGACGGGCAGGCGTGGCGGCGCGAAGGCAGGGCCCGCGGCGGGCCTAACGAGCAGGCGCTACGGCGGGCCTAACGGGCAGGCGCGGCGGCGCGAAGGCAGGGCCCGCCGCGAGCCTAACGAGCAGGCGCGACGGCGGGCTAACGGGCAGGCGCGGCGGCGCGAAGGGAGGGCCCGCGGAAGGCCTAACGGGCAGGCGCGGCGGCGGGCCTAACGGGCAGGCGCGGCGGCGCGAAGGGAGGGCCCGCGGCGGGCCTAACGGGCAGGCGCGGCGGCGCGAAGGCAGGGCCCGCGGCGGGCCTAACGAGCAGGCGCTACGGCGGGCCTAACGGGCAGGCGCGGCGGCGCGAAGGCAGGGCCGCGGCGAGCCTAACGAGCAGGCGCGGCGGCGGGCTAACGGGCAGGCGCGGCGGCGCGAAGGGAGGGCCCGCGGAAGGCCTAACGGGCAGGCGCGGCGGCGGGCCTAACGGGCAGGCGCGGCGGCGCGAAGGGAGGGCCCGCGGCGGGCCTAACGGGCAGGCGCGGCGGCGCGAAGGCAGGGCCCGCGGCGGGCCTAACGAGCAGGCGCTACGGCGGGCCTAACGGGCAGGCGCGCGACGGGACGGGGGACGGGACGGGACGGGCGCGAGAACGGGTCGAACGCGCTGCGGCAAGCGGTATTGCAGGCGCGCGGCGGACGGGCGTACGAAAGGGGCGCTACTGCAGCGCTACGAGACAGGACGGGACGGGTGAGGCGCGTGAGGCTTTGGAGGCTCGAGTACGAGGAACGGGATCCTACAGGATCCTAACCTAGGTGATACCATATTAGAAACTGAATTGTGTGTTCATTGATGTGGGTTGGGGTACATATAGCAAACCCTAATATTTGTACCCCCTAAGACAAGCCTCACTACAGGCTACAACATTTGACAGGGGGTAATATAAGGAAACAATATTTCCTCACTTCACGTCATCACCTCTACCGCGTACAGCACTGTTCCGCCATTACGATAAAACAATGTCCCGTTACCACCTCGCGATGTACGCCTCGGTTTGTATCCCCGCCGCCACCGTTACCGTTGCACCCAAATCGCACGGCTCGGCTGGCAACTCGCGTTCGTCACTACACCTCTAGAATTTCCAACCTCGGCGCTAGACATGTCGGGCACCCCTTTGACCGAGTTACCATTACCATCTTTGATAGTGCAATTCTCGCTCGTTCTATCCATTGCACTCGTAGCATCAATAAGTCTATAGTTTATGCAGAATACTAGATAGTTAGCGGTTTCCATACCATGTACCTATACGCGATCCATGGCATTCTGGTCATTCAGAAGTGTTCCGTCAACACTGAAAATTCTGACGAAGCAAGAGAGATGGGTCGAACCGAACGTCACGAAACGGACACTGACAGCTGTTTCGAGGCCGTTACTTTGGCGGAGGTTGCTGCAGCGTCAAGTCAAGTGGTTCCCCCCTTTCCCTCCTTGCCACCCACACCCCGATAGCAATGCCAGCTCCCCATTGTCACATAGAGATGTAACCGTAGTGCGATGCAATTTGCTGTCAACAACAGGCAATGAGTCAGTAACTTCCAGTTTTGTGCGGTACAGTGAGATCCTGAAAGTTTCAAAACCATTTCGGCATATACATAGCGGTTAGATGGAGGTATGACGCACCTTCCAAAGTTTCCCTGTCATCCTTGTCACGCATGGTGTCAAAGATGAACGGACGGGAAGGAGGTTATCGGAGCGCGTTTCTCCCGCCCTGTTTATCGCGGGCGTTTGGTGCTTGACTGGGTTTGATGGTGGACGTGTTCAATACAGTACAAAACGGTGGTGTACCTTTCGGGGAATGTTTTGTAGCGTTTTTAGACGGTTAAGTACGGTACTGAGAGAAAGCAGCAGATGCTGGCCGTGCTGGAGTTGTTCTGGACCAATGTTACATTCGCGTTCTTCAGCCTGCTTTTCCTTGGACCGAAAGATCGTGTTTCAGCAAGAACTGGGTATCTAGCGTCGCGGCACTAGGTAGTTCCTTTTTACTTGCAAGACAACCATGGCCTCCCAAACGCAGACAGGCACAGGAGCAACTCTTGACCGTTCTCGCTTCGCACATCTGTCTATTGACACGACGACAGACGACCCGCGACCGTTCTCGCCGTTAGTGGAGGAGATCGCGTCACATACAGCACCATCCGACTTCCCTCCAGGCCACGGCAGACCCATTTCGAGTGAATGGGATTATTTCAGCGGATTTTATCGCACTCTTATGTTCTTCGGGAAGCTCCTCTCCCCCCACTGCAGACCGCAGCGGCACAGAAGGCGCGGGGATCCCCCTGGTTCCGCTTCCCGCTCCCCCAAAGCCGCCGCGCGCGTCGTGAGCCCCAAAGGCGCACGCGAGTTCTCCGCAGCTTATTCTCTCGGGGGATTTCTTGGCCGGGGGAGCTACGGAGTTGTGCGGGAGTGTGTCAGCCGCCGCACCGGTCGTGCGTACGCTTGCAAGGTGATACGGAAAGATGAAATGCGCAACCGTCGTGCGGAAGAGGCGGCTATCCGGCGAGAAGTGAAGATTCTCCAGCAGCTCGCCGGCCATCCACACGTGGTCTCCCTCGTGGACGTATACGAGGACAGGGCGGCGATTTTTGTCGTTATGGAGAAGTGTAACGGCGGCGAGCTGTACGACCTGTTGTGCGAAACCACTGCTGGCGGCCGCGCAAATCAGGGTGCAGACCATTCAGGTTACTTCAGAGATAACGATGCTCACAGCCTATCGTCATACTCGTCCTCTGAAGACGGCGAGCTGGGGGGAACGTTCGGGGAAAGAGAATCTCTGAGTTCACCCCGAGACTGCGGAGGGATGGAGGAGGAACAGGCAGCAGCAATTTTCGAGCAGATTGTACACGCGGTATTGGTGTGTCACTTGAATGGGGTTCTACACCGCGACCTCAAGCTTGAAAATATTTTGCTGTGTTTTCCAGAATCTTCTAAAGACAAAATCTCCAGCAAATTCTGCTGCTTTCCACTCGTCAAGCTTGCGGATTTTGGCTCTGAAGTCTCGCTCTCCCCTGGAGAGCTCGCGTCAGGTGTTGCTGGCAGCAGGCTTTACCAAGCACCAGAAGTCCTTCAGCAGTGTAAATACGGTTTCAAAGCCGACATGTGGTCTCTTGGGGTTATTCTTTTCTCTCTCCTTTCGGGATCACTTCCATTCATGGCTGACTCTCGGCGGTCTCAAGCTAGACTGGCGAAGAAAGGTGTGGGGAAAATGGATTCAAGTGCTTGGGAGGGAGTGTCAAGTCAAGCCAAGGATCTGGTTACAAAGTTACTGTCCGTGGAGGCTAGTCAGAGGCCGTCTGCTGAAGAGGTGCTGAAGCATCCGTGGGTTGTCCAATACAGGAGGCAACGAAGCACCTGAATAAACGGCCAGATTGGAGACGATATTCTCAGCAAGCATGTTTGCAATACGGTACTCGTGTAAGGATAACTCATGCACATGATATAATAGCAAAAGTATGGTATACTGCAATTTTCGCATGAACTGTAAACTTGACGTTAGCATTTTCGAGATCTTGGCTATTGATACGAGCGGGTACCGGTACCTGTGGACAATTTCCTTGATTGGAGGCATTGCTTGCGACTCGCTAGTACTGTATGTCACGAGTGTGTCTGCTGATGAGCGCGAATCCCTTGCACATACACTGCACCTTCTCCACCACTACCAACCCTTACAACAATTTTCCATGCGCACAACACAAGTCACTTCACGGAAATAAATCCGAAAGGAGTTTGACACAAAACAAGCCAAAGAAAATGCGTACTTCACTCATTCTTGAATCGGCACAAAGCATCCTGAATCCTGGTATTTCAACTCAGCCTCGTCGACAAAGGGCAGAGAAGAAAACGACGCTGTTGCAGGAGCAGACGGTCTCGCAACGGGTTACGGGACGAGATGATGTAATCGCGGGCGATTGACCAAACCATGCTCGACGAAACGACAACTTCACCACCTTGCTCTTCTCTGCCTTGCTTTGCTACCCTGCACTTTCTCCGTAACAGAATTGAGCCGCTTGCCTTGCCCAGCCTCAAGAATACAGGCCACGCCCATCAATCAACTCTTCTACTTCACCCCCTTCTTCTCCGTCTTGCGCTTACGCTTCTCTCCTTTTCTCCTCTGCAGCTTCTCCGCAACCACCGCGTTTCGCCCCTTGGCCAACTGTTCCCTGATTCGCCTCACCCTCTCCGCCATCCCAGTGCCATGCACACCCATCAGCTCTTCACCTTTTGCTTCTCCGCCCTGCGCTTGCGTTTCTCCGCCTTGTTCCGCTGCAGCTTCTCCGCAACCACACCGTTGCGGCCCTTGGCCAGCCGCTCTCTGATCTCTTTCACCTTCTCTGCCATGCCCGTGCCGTCTCCCCCTTCGATGGACGCCTGGGATGATGCGAGAAGGGACTGGGGCGACAGGGAATAGGTGGAGAGGATAGGGGGAATATGAGAATAAGTCAGCTGTTTTAGCGGTTGCAGCACGGGACTTGCAGACCAAGACTTCATGAACATCCAGTGGGGAGACTTCAAGCTAAACTTCAAGGGAACCCTCAAGTAAAGGAGAATTTCGTACGGAAAGAACAGGGCAGCGACTCACCTTGATGTGGCTTATAGCAGCCAAGTTGCATCCCACGGTTGCTACTGCGCCCTGCCATGCCATGCCATGCCATGCCATATCACCGCGCACACACACGCCATGGCATGCCATGCCACAAGCCAGAACATGCATCGGTTAGCGAAACATTGTGACTAGGAGAAACACTGGTAGTGTGGCAAGCTGCAAATATACATATGTCACAACCACCACATGTGCATGTGCATGTGCACACAACCTCTACCTCCATTGCACCCTCACATCACAGTGGGCGTGGCGACGAGCTGCGAGTGGCGCATGCATGCGCACGAGGAAGTCTTTTGAGTCGACTCAAAAGTCAACATGTGCATGTGCACACAACCTCTACCTCCATTGCACCCTCACAGTGGGCGTGGCGACGAGCTGCGAGTGGCGCATGCATGCGCACGAGGAAGACGAACAATCCTGCTTCCATTCCAACCCGCTCACCCCCTCTCCCCTCGTAATAAAAAAAACCGTACCTTGAGCGAAGCCCGTAAAAGACTGTGGACAGCAGCCAATAGCGGGCGGGCTATCGGGGTAGCGACGAGCTGCAAGTGGTGGATGCGCACGAGGGACACGAGCAAGCAATCACACCATCCCACCATCCCACCTCTTTTCCCCCCTCTCTCATCCACCCTTTCAATCTCAGAAACCATACCTTGAGCGATGCTCTTAGCAGTGTGTGCACGGCAGCTAGCAGCGGGCGGGCGGTGGGAGTGGAGACGAGCTGTGAGTGGTGGATACGCACGAGGAACACGAGGGAACACGAGGGCCTGGGCGGAAAATTCCCTCCTCCCCACTCACCTCCCCCCCTCTCCAGTATCATACCTTGAGCGATGCTCTCAGCAGTGTGTGCACAGCAGCTAATAAGGGTATATAAGGGCCAGGCGGTGGGCGTGGCGACGACAAGTTGCGAGTGGTGGATGCGCACGAGGGAGACGAGCAACAACACAACACCCGTCCCGCCCCTTCCCTTCCACCCTTAATAAAAAACGAGTGATGCCCGTAGCAGTGTGTGGACAGCGGCCAATAGCGGGCGCGTAGTGGGTGGTAGCAACGAGCTGTGAGTGGTGGATGCGCACGCAGGAGACGAGTGCCCGGGCCGCACACTCCAACCTCCCCACCCACTCTCCCCCCCCCTTCCAATATCATACCTTGAGTGATGCTCTCAATAGTGTGTGCACAGCACAGCAGCTAGGAGCGGGCGGGTGGTAAAAATGGCGACGAGCTGCGAGTGATGAGATCGTCTCGACGAGCTGCGAGTGATGAGATCGTCTCGACGAGCTGCGAGTGATGAGATCGTCTCGACGAGCTGCGAGTGATGAGATCGTCTCGACGAGCTGCGAGTGATGAGATCGTCTCGACGAGCTGCGAGTGATGAGATCGTCTCGACGAGCTGCGAGTGGTGGATGCACATGAGGGACACGAGCAACCCCCCCCTCTCCCCCCCTCACCTCCCTCCTCCCCTCTCAGATATCATACCTTGAGTGAGGCCCGTAGCAGTGTGTGGACAGCAGCCAATAGCGGGCGGGCGGTGGGCGTGGCGACGAGCTGCGAGTGGTGGATGCGCACGAGGGACACGAGCGCCCGGGCGGCAAACTCCAGCTGCGGCAGCGGGCGGTGCAGCCAGTGCGGGGCGAAGTGGAGAATCCTCAGTGCCACGGTGAACGGCAGCACCAGCAGCGCTTGCTCGAGCTCTGAAGGCTTGACGCGGGCAAGAGCTCTCAGCACAAAGGCCGCGGGCGCATGGCCTAGGAGCAGCACGTTGGGCTGGAAGGAGGGGAGCAGCGAGGTGGGGTCACTGGGGTCCTGCAGTGGTGATTGGGAGAGATGAGATGGGGGGAGGTCGAGAGAGATGAGAAGAGAACTCAGATCGCGATGGGGGGAGGTCGAGAGAGATGAGAAGAGAACTCGGAACGCGATGGGGGGAGCATGGGGAAGAAAGGTGCGGGGAGAGTGGAGGCAAAGACACGACGGAGTCAGGCCTACCTTGATGACGGGAACCATCCGAGCCGAGCCTCTTCCAGCGATGCCCGTTCGACCGTCTCGATTATCGAGGACCTACCTTGATGACAGGTGACCCACCTTAAAAAGGTTATATCTACCCCAATGAAGGTAATCTGATTTGAAAATACCTTGATGAAGGGAACCATGCAAGCTTCTTCCATGGAAGCCAGCTCCACCGCCTCCATGATCGAGTCAGGAGAGCGGGGAGAAAGATGGGAGGTGAGCGGTGGGCAAGTTGGGAGGATGATAGACCCACCTTGATGAAAGGAACCATGCGAGCTTCTTCCATGGAAGCCAGCTCCACCGCCTCCATGATCGAGTCAGGAGAGCGGAGAGAAAGATGGGAGGTGAGCGGTGGGCAAGTTGGGAGGATGATAGACCTACCTTGATGAAAGGAACCATCCGAGCTTCTTCCATGGAAGCCAGCTCCACCGCCTCGATGATCGAGTCTGCCGCCCAAACCGTCTCCTGCGTGCCCCTCGCCGCCCCTCCCACGCCGCCCAGCTCCCCCGCTGCGCCGCCCGGCCCTGCCGCCTCCCCGCCTTCGCCGCCCTCCTCGTCGTCGCCCCCGTCCAAGCGGCGTGCGTCGGTTGGTAGCGCCACGGCTCGGGCTTCAAACATGGCTTCAAGCTGCTTCTCCCGCTCCTCCTGAGGAAGGGGAGGGATGCGGGGAGGGGGGATGTGAGGAAAAGGGGAGGGCAGAAGGGAGAAGGGATGTGTGGGAAAGGGGGGAGGAGGGGGGGAGTGAAAGGGAGGAAAGGTGCTTCATACATAGCTTTGAGCTGCTTCTCCCGCTCCCCCTGAGAAAGGGGAGGGATGTCAGGAGAGAGGGGTTGGGTGGGGGGTGGGGACGCGGAAGGGGGGCGGGGAAGGTGAGGTGGGGAAGTGGAGGAAGAAAGGCTTCGAGCTGCTTCTCCAAAAAAATAAGGATCAACGGGAGCTGAAAAGGGGGGCAGAAAAAAAGGTAGGTCGGTGATGGGAGGACCATGGGGTGGAGGGAGTGGGAACAGGAAAAAAAAAAACAAACAAACCAACAAACAAACAAACAAACAAACAAACAAACAAACAAACAAACCAGCCAACAAACAAACAAACAAACCAACAAACAACATACCATTGGTTAGCTTGCCATGGTCAACGTCCCCCAAATCCCTTCCCCTCCTCGCCCCCCCTTGCCCTCCCCCTCTTCTACCTCCCCAACTCCGAAAGGACTCGTCATTGCACTAAGCACCAAGTAGCGCTCAGCGCACACACAGAGCCCTTCCTTTGCTGCCGTACCACTAGTCCCTCCATTCCTCCCCCTTCCCCTCTCCCCCCATCTCCCTGTTACCCACCTCGAGGAAGAAGGGCTCGTCCGTGCGCTGCCAGCGGCGGATGGAGCGATCGTGCGATCCGGACACGAGGAAGTCACCCAGTGGGCTGATGGCCAGCGACCACACCTGTGCGGGAGGAGGGGAGGGAGGAGGAGGGAAGTGGGAAAGAGGATGGAATCAGAGAGTTGAGAGCCAAACACGAGCAAGTCACCGAGTGGGCTGATGGCTAGCGACCACACCTGGCAGGAGAAAGGAGGGAAGGAGCGAGGGACGTTTCGAGACCTTTTTGAGCTGTCTGATTTGAGTGGAATGTCTGCCATTTTTTTGGGGAATTCTCAGAAAACAACTGTCTATGAGGCCAAGTCAAAGGACATGCATGGAGCGTGGTGCTGCTGACGAGGTCCATCTCACCTCAGCGTGGTGCCCGTCCAGTGTGAGCAGCAGCTGAAAGGAACTTGTCCGCATCCATTCCATGACCGCACCCTCCAGTCCTTGCCTAACGGGGTCAGCCTTTATGAGTCCAAGTCAAAGCACACGACTCACCTCTGCATGGTGCCCGTCCAGTGTGAGCAGCAGCTGGAACTTGTCCGCATCCCAGTACCGCACCCTTCTATCCTTGCCACATGAGAAGAAGTAGTGTGTGCGGGGGACGAACTTCACACTCATCACACTGGATAGGGAGAGGCAGGGATGGGGATGGGGGATGGGGGATGGGGGGAGCAACAGGGGGGGTGCAGGTTTGCTGCATGAGAAGAAGTAGTGCGTGCGGGGGACGAACTTGACACTCATCACACTGCATTGATGGGGGGGGTGATAGAGGGAGGCAGGAGTAGGAGAGGGGGGTTCTTTCCATCGACTCAAAGCTCCAGTTTATGAGCATCCTTGCCGCATGAGAACAAGTAGTGCGTGCGAGGAACAAACTTCACACACATCACACTGGATTGGGGGGGGTAACAAGAGGCGGATTGGGGGGAAGTGGGGGAGGAGAGAGGGAGAAGGGGGTTGGGTGAGTCAAAGCCAGCTTGTCTGCATCCCACTACTGCACTCTTCTAAGCTTGCCGCTCGAGAAGAGAACAAGTAGTGCGAATGGGGGGGTGAGATGGGAGAGATTGAAGGAGAGGGGGGGGGATGGAGGAAGGCGAGCGGGATAAGCGGAGAGTGAAGATGGGAGAGATGGGAGAGATTGAAGGAGAGGGGGGTGAGTGACTCCGTCCATCCGAGCCGACTTGCCATGCCAGCGATATTGGTGCCACTTTTGAGAATTCTCAAAAGTCGCACCTATAAGCGGAGAGGGGGGTGAGTGAGTGAGTCCATCCCTCCAAGCCGACTTGCCATGCCAGCGATCCAGAATCACGCTTTGCTGCATCAGACGAAGCAATGCATGTGGGCGGGCGCCAGGCAGCAGTGCGATTCAATTCAATCTGCATCATCCAGCCCAGCCCACGGTCAATTGTCCTGCTGCAAAAAAATAATGCATGTGTGCTGCTGGTGCCACAGAGAAACCCACCTGTCCTGGTGGGCAAACAGAGACCGGTGGCAATCTCCGAAATCCAGCCCCCAGATCTTGACACTCTTGTCCGCTGAGCCCGACACTGCGAGCTGCGAGTCGGAGGAGATGTCGAGGCAGATGGCTGGCAGCTTGTGGCCGTACAGCGAGAGGAAGAAACGCAGCGAGTCGACAAAAAAGACCTGGAAGGGTGGGGTGGAGGAAAGGGGAGGGCCAGGGAACGAGAAGGGAAGAAGCAGGGATAGGGAAAAGGGGAGAACAGGAGGGCCAGGCCAGGAACAGGACTTGGAACGTCTCTCAAGAGGGCCAGGAGGAGCCTGCTAGTTCTCCTCTCCTCTCCTCCCTGTTGCTGGAAAAGAAAAGCTAGTTAGTTCACCTTCAAACACGGCTCAAGAAGCGCCTGTTAGTAGTTGTTCCTCGTTCGTACCTTGACGGTGGAGTCGAGGAGCGAGAGGAGAGCGCAATGTATCGGCCAGCACGTAAGGTGAGAGTGCTCACCATTTTCGAAAAATCTCAAATGTGCTCACAAATCTGATGGTGGAGTACACAGTTGTTAGTAGTACTTCTCAATTCTCGTACCTTGATGGTGGAGTCGAGGAGCGAGAGAGCAATGTATCGGCCGTCCGGGCTAAACGCCACACTGAGCACGTCGTCAGACATCTTGAGCGTGCGCGTGTTCACCACTGTTAAGTGCTTCTCGCCCCTCCCTGCCGCCAGTGCATCCTGTCAAAGAATGGAGATTGATTTCGAGAGTTAAGATTCGGAATAACGCAAAACGGTTCAGAAATCGAGGAGAAGAGACAGAAATATCAGGCTCGGAGCGTTCCGTTCTTAATTTTCTTCGATCAATTTTCAAGAACAAGAATTGAATATTGCAACTTGTTCACTCACTTTGTCTGCATCGGACCCCTTGAGCTGCATCTGATACTCCCAAAACTGGGGTGAGAGGGGGGAGGGGGGGTGGGGATATGAGGAGGATCGCACAAGAGGGTAAGGGAGGGGAGGGGAGGGGAGGGGAGGGGAGGGGAGGGGATGGGAGGGGAGGGGAGGGGAGGGGAGGGGAGGGGAGGAGCAGGAGGTGGGGGGAAGAGGAAGGGAAAGACAAGAAAAAACACACACACACACGCACACACTCATACACACACACACACGTACACACACACACACTCACACACACACACACACACACACACACACGCACACACACACACACACACACACACACACACACAAACACACACACGCACCTTGACACAGCCATCAGCGGAAGCAGTTGCAAACCCCGAGTTATCAGGCAGGGCAGGCATGGCCCACACAGCCTTGATTGAAGAGAGAGGCGCCGAACCCGTGCATGAAGAACACAGATTCCAACGCGTACCTTCACATTCACTCACACACACACGCACTCCTTTTGTCCTACCTTGACACAGCCATCAGCGGAAGCAGTTGGCGAAGCCAGTGTTATCCGGCAGGGCAGCCATGGCCCACAATGCCACCTTGAGACAAGCACACTCACACGCCTATCACGGCCACCTTGAGGCATGGACACTCACATACTCATACTAGGGGACCAATCTCACAGATGCACCTTGACACAGCCGTCAGCAGAGGCAGTCGCAAACCCAGTGTTGTCAGGCAGGGCAGCCATGGCCCACACTGCCACCTTGAGACACGCACACTCACACACATACTTTGAGACCAAACTCGCACACTCACCTTCACACAGCCATCAGCAGAGGCCGTGGCGAAGCCTGTGTTATCAGGCAGGGCAGCCATGGCCCACACGGCCTTGTCGTGAGCTGCTTGGATCAGGGCAGTGCGCTCTGCACTGGCCACTGAGAACACCTCCAGGTCGCCTGCTTGTGTGCCTGCTATGGCCTGCACGCCAAGAGGAGAGGGACGAGAGGGAGGAGAGGGAGAGTCAAAGATGGAGGGGGAAGAGTCATGGCCCACACGGCCTTGTCATGTGCTGCTTGGATGAGAGCCGTGCGCTCTGCACTGGCCACTCGCCTGCTTGTGTGCCTGCGATGGCCTGAGTGCAGGAGGGAGGAAAGTCAAGGACAAGGGGGGAAGGAGAAGAGTCGTAACCCGAAGGGCCTTGTCGTGGATCAGGGCAGGGCGCTCTGCACTTTTGAGATGTCTCAAAACGTGGATCAGGGCAGGGCGCTCTGCACTTTTGAGATGTCTCAAAACGTGGATCAGGGCAGGGCGCTCTGCACTTTTGAGATGTCTCAAAACGTGGATCAGGGCAGGGCGCTCTGCACTTTTGAGATGTCTCAAAACGTGGATCAGGGCAGGGCGCTCTGCACTTTTGAGATGTCTCAAAACGTGGATCAGGGCAGGGCGCTCTGCACTTTTGAGATGTCTCAAAACGTGGATCAGGGCAGGGCGCTCTGCACTTTTGAGACGACTTTTGAGTCGACTCAAAAGTCAACGCAGTGCGCTGTGCACTTTTGAGACGTCTCAAAACTTGGATGAGAGCCGTGCGCTCTGCACTGGCCACTGAGAACACCTCCAGGTCGCCTGCTTGTGTGCCTGCTATGGCCTGAGTGCAGGGTTTACGAGAGGGAGGAGAGGGAGGATAGCAGTAGCTGGGGTAAAGAGTGTCACGGCCCATGCGGCCTCCGTGTGTGTGTGCTGCCCATGCGGCCTCCGTGTGTGTGTGCTGCCCATGCGGCCTCCGTGTGTGTGTGCTGCCCATGCGGCCTCCGTGTGTGTGTGCTGCCCATGCGGCCTCCGTGTGTGTGTGCTGCCCATGCGGCCTCCGTGTGTGTGTGCTGCCCATGCGGCCTCCGTGTGTGCTGCCCGCCCGCACCAGAGTGTGATGTGATGTGCTCTCAAGTCACAGACCTACGAGCCTGAGATGCCTGAGGAATGATTTAAGTGGGGAAAACGAGGTTCAAAGTCCCTACCCAGTCTCCCTCCCCCCCCCAACCCTTTCCCACACCCAGCCCTCCCCCACACCACACTGAACCGTCGACCCCCCCCTCCTTGCACACAACTATCAGTCATTTGTCCCCTCCCCATCTCACTCACATATCTATCACCGGGGGCGAAGAGGCAGCAGCAGAGGCCATAGCCGGAGCCGAAGGAAGAGAGGCGAGGCACGGCCATCCCTCACCCTCACCTCTCTACCTCCTTCTTCCCTCCCCATCTCGTTTATTCACCACCCATCCCTGGCTATATTTGTGCGACTTTTGAGAATTCTCAAAAGAAGGAAGAGAGGCGAGGCACACCCTCACCTCTCTACCTCCTTCTTCCCTCCCCATCTCAGCTATTCACCACCCATCCCTGGCCCCCCTCCCTCCCCATCTCTCACTCACATATCTATCACCGGGGGCGAAAAGGCAGCAGAGGCCGTAACCCGAGTCAAAGGAGGAGAGGCAGGCTCCAGTGACGGGGTTCCAGACCTGAGAGGGGGAGGGAGGTAGGGCGAGAAAGCAGGGGGTAAGGGAAGGCGCGAGCATGTGCTAAGCTGCTGTGGTGGCACGTCAGGCCGTAACCCGAGTCAAAGGAAGAGAGACAGGCTCCAGTGACAGGGTTCCACACCTGAAAGGGCGGAACGAGGGTGGAAGAGAGGGGGGAGGGGGGTTGTGTGGGGAGGGGCGTGTGTGTGTCTAGGCGCGTCAAGCCGTAACCCGAGTCGAAGGAGGAGAGACAGGCTCCAGTGAGAGGGGGCAGGGTTCCACATCTGTTGTGGGAGGGGGCAGTGCAGGAGATAATACAGATTTTTTTCAAAGAAATAGTACCAGCTACAGGATTTCACACCGGTGGTGGTGGGAGGGGGGGGAGGCAAAGGCGCAGGGGAGGATGCGAGGAGGATGAGAGGAAGTGTGACAGACAAAATGAGCTGTAGGTGCAGAATTGGGCTATCTGCTCTGCTGCGAAGAAGAAGACTTCACTAGGAAATGCACCTCATAGCACAGCTTGATGTAAACTCATGTCAACACTCTGTCTGTCACCCACCTTGGCGGAGCCTTTGGAAACGGACAAAAGAAGCGAGCCATCCGAGGAGAGTGCCATCGAGCGCACGTCCGATCGGTGGCCGGCAGACTGCAGCGCTGCTGCCCGGGTGCTGCTGTCGGCGTGTATAGTGTGGATCTGAGATAGCAGGAGCGGGGATGGGGGTGGGGAAGGGAGGGCAGGGTGACTTTTCAGTCGACTCAAAGGCAGACTGCAGTGATGCCGCCCGGGTGCTGCTGTCCGCGTGGATAGTGTGGATCTGGAAGAAAGGAGGGGGGAGGGGCAGGGGCGGGGATGGGAGGAGGGAGGAATGAGGGAGGGGAGAAAGGCGTGTGGTGCTCCCACTCAGTAACCTGTGCCGCCCGGGTGGTGCCGTCCGCGTGTATAGTGTGGATCTGGAAGAAGGGGAGGAGTGGGAGGATGGGGGAGGGAGGGAGGGAATGAGGGAGGGAGGGAGGGAGGGAGGGAGGAGTAGGGTGATGGAACAGCATGGGTTGGAAGGAAGGGAGGTGACGTGACCACAACACCAGTAATGAATCACTATCCCCTCTCCTTCGTCTCACTCCCCCTTTCTCCCTCGTCTCACCACCACTCTGTTGTTGTGCAGAGCCAGCCAGCGCCAGTGACGGCTCTGCTGCTCCCCCTCTCAGAGGCACCTCAGAACAAACAAACCCCATAAGGACCCCCTTCTTGGCCCCTCGCCTCAGATCCACGCTGTTATTATGCAGAGCCAGCGCCAGTGTCGGCTCTGCTCCCCCTCTCCCTCCTCCCCTCCCCGCCTTTTTTCTCCTGAAATGAACCCTCCCCCCACCCCCTCTTCTTTCACCCTCGTCTCACCTCCACGCTGTTGTTGTGCAGAGCCAGCCAGCGCCAGTGTCGGCCCTGCTGCTCCCCCTCTCAGAGGCACCTCAGAACAAACAAACCCCATAAGGACCCCCTTCTTGGCCCCTCGCCTCAGATCCACGCTGTTATTATGCAGAGCCAGCGCCAGTGTCGGCTCTGCTCCCCCTCTCCCTCCTCCCCTCCCCGCCTTTTTTCTCCTGAAATGAACCCTCCCCCCACCCCCTCTTCTTTCACCCTCGTCTCACCTCCACGCTGTTGTTGTGCAGAGCCAGCCAGCGCCAGTGTCGGCCCTGCTGCTCCCCCTCTCAGAGGCACCTCAGAACAAACAAACCCCATAAGGACCCCCCTCTTGGCCCCTCGCCTCACTCCGCTTCCTTCCTCGTCTCACCTCCACGCTGTTATTGTGCAGAGCCAGCCAGCGCCAGTGTCGGCTCTTCTGCCTCCCCTCTCAGAGGCACCTCAAAAGAAACAAACCCCATAAGGACCCCCCTCTTGGCCTCTCGCCTCACTCCGCTTCCTTCCTCGTCTCACCTCCACGCTGTTGTTGTGCAGAGCCAGCCAGTGCCAGTGTCGGCACTGCTCCCCCTTTCCTGAGGCACCTCAAATAAAACCAATAATACACCCTACCTTGTCCCGCGTTTCACCCCCTTTCCCCCTCGTCTCACCTCCACGCTGTTATTGTGCAGAGCCAGCGCCAGTGTCGGCTCTGCTCCCCCTCTCCCTCCTCCCCTCCCTCCTGCCCCCGCTGCCTTGGGCGCGAAGGCAATGGCGCGCACTCGGTGCTTCAAACGAATGGTGAACATCGACGCAAACTCGTCTGCCCCCTCCACAGTCACCTCCGCCCCTCCCTCCCCCTTCCGCTCCCCTCCTTCTTCCCCTCCCTCCTCCCCTTCCCCTCCTCCTCCTTCCGCTCCTCCCTCCGCTGTTCCCTCCCCCGCCTCCTCACCCTCTCGCTCCCGCTCACCTCCCTTCCCCTTGCCCTTCTCCACCTGTCTCCGCCTCCGCCTCTTAGCCTGCCTAACCGCCTCACCAGGGCTCCTCACTCGGAACAACTCCACAGCCTTTCCAGCACTCTGGCAGACTAGCACCTTCCCTGGCCCGTCGAAACGCACACTTAAAGCCCGCTCTGCGCCCTGCCCCACGCCCACCACTCTCCTTATACTGCCGTGCGGTATAAGCACGTCCCACCGCCCTGCCACCCCGCCTCCTCCCCCGCTTCCTTTTGCTGCTCCTGCAATCCCTCCCCCTTCTCCATCCCCCTCCCCCTCCCCCTCCGCACTTTCCCCAGGTGCTTCCCCCTCCCCCTCCCCCAACACCCCCCGCTCCGCTCTGATTTGGAAAATCAAAACCTCAGGTTCGGTGCCGGCAGCGACAAGCCTGGGCAGGTTCGGGTGGACGGCGAGCGTCCAAAGCTCGCCGCGAGGCTCGGCGATGGTTTGGATGCAGTGGTGGAGGGCGAGGTCCCATACTTTAATCTGCGCGTCCCTGCTACAGCTGACCAATAGGGACTGGTGCTGTACCATGGAACCTTCCAGGAAGGTGAGATCGGTCACCTGGACAGTTTGAGGGCGGGAGATGGGGGAGGGGAGGGGGGTGGAAAAGGAGGGAAGGGAGGGGGTGTTAGGCGATGGTTTGGATGCAGCGGTGAAGGGCGAGGTCCCACACCTTGATCCGCGCGTCCCTGCTACAACTGATTAATAGTGACTGGTGCTGTACCATAGAACCTTCTAGGAAGGTAAGATCGGTGACCTGGGGATTGGGGTGAGGGGTTGGAAGGGAGGGGGTGTTAGGCTAGGGGTGTGGATGCAGTGGTGAAGGCCGAGGTCCCACACCTTGATCCGCGCGTCCCTGCTACAGATTACCAGCAGGGACTGGAGCTGCACGCGGGAACCAGGAAGGTGAGGTCTGTAACCTGGGCAATTTGCATGGCGGGAGATCGGGGGAGGGAGCGGGGTGAATGGGGGAGGAAAACGGGGGAGGGATGGTAGACCATTCGTGGATCCAACTTCCACACCTACATCCTCTCTTCACCATAACCCCCAAGCGCGACACTTTGACTGGCCTCTGCTCTGCGTTCCATCAGTAAAAAGGTTTTCGAGGCGCCTCATAACCTACATCCTCCCAAACTGGAGAAACTACATTCAAACCCTCCAAAACCCTGAACCCTGAATCTTGCCTGGTCTCTGTGGCCTCTTAATCGCACGAGCCCCACTTCGCCCGCCACGTCCCACACCACGATATCCGCATCTCTGCCGCCCGACGCCAGCAGCGCGCCGGCCGCGTTGTACCGCACAACTGCTACAGCCGACCTGTGGCCGGCAAGGCTTGTCCTACACGTGCCGTCGACCATGTTCCACACGCGCACCGTGCCGTCCGTGTACCCCGCCGCCACCTGCGTCGCGTCGGTCGGCGACGGGCAAATCGCCGTCACGTCCGCTACAGCCGGGACGGCATCATGCACGCTGCCGGCTGCGCCGCCGGCCGCTCCCGCGCCGCTGCCCTGGCTGTAGCCGGCGCCAGCCGGCTGTGGCGAGAGCTGCCGTAGCAGCGTGCCCTTTCGTACGTCCCATACGAGCAAGCGCTCGAGCGCGCCGGTTAGAATGGAGCGACCTGATTGGTCGAAACAGATGCTGCCGCAGGAAGGGGATACTACGAGGCCGAATACCGCTTCCTGCTCGTAGCGCAAGTACGCTTTCACCATCGCGTCGCACTAATTTGACGCCAGCCTACTAGAGAACCGGGACTAGCTGATCCGAAGGACCTCGGTGGGGGGGTCGTGGGGACAAATACCGTGAGCTCGTAAGACGACAAAATGGCTTGTATGCTTAGGTAATATGCGCACATCTCGGTCTAATTGACACGGGGGTGTAGCTCACATGGTAGAGCGATCGCTTCGCATGCGATAGGTAAGGGGATCGATACCCCTCACCTCCACCTCAGTTGATTTAGTTTTGATGCGCACTTTCCAATAGTCATTGAACCTGTACATGGGCGCCTCCTCTTTCCTTGGCACCACCACCCAGCATTGGTTGCATCTTGATTCTATCATGCACCCATCACAAGCACCATAACGCAATACACTGATTAGGTTTGCTGCAACTGTCAGTGATCGTCAGAGACTGGAAAACACGGGCGAAGTGGCGATTAATCTACGCAGGTCCTTCCATCCACGTGGGTTGATGGGCATGAAATGCACTCGCGACACTCGCTTCGACTACTGTTCCCGCCACTGCTCACGATGCGACAGGAGCTCCGCTGGCTGACCTTCTTGCTGACCGACTTGGGTGAGCGGCCTCGTTCTCCTCCTGTTCTATACGTCGACAACAATGCCATGATTGTCTTGTGCAGGACCAGAGACTGGAGCACAGAACGAAGCACATTGCTCTTCGTTACTTCCTCGCACGAGAGCAGCAGCAGCGTGGTCAGCTTTGTCTAGCTTACGTGGCCTCACAGGCCAACGCTGCTGATGTATTCACCAAGGCTCTCGGTTCTGGTGATCATCAGCGTTTCTACACTGCTCTTAGGCTTGTGCCCACTCTGCCTCACCTGCTTGTCTCTTGATCTTGCCTTGCCCTTGTGGTACTCTGATACATATATTTATACATGCATGGTTACACTTGCTAGGTGGTGATCAGTGTACTGCGCTTGCTATTATAACCTCTGCATGTGAACTGGCCTTCTGGCCACTTGCTTGTGCTCGGACTGCGTGGTGATCTTGAGATCCACGCTGAGGTTCGTTTTGTTTTGCTTCTTCTCTTGACTGGTCTTGTGACCATTGCGTGCTCGCTCTGGCTAGACAATTCTCTCGACACTCATCTTGCACCCCTCCCTTTACCTAATGCATCACTTCTTCCTAGCTATTCTAACAATAATCTCAGCCAGCACGCACTAAAATGTTGCCATGCTTATTGTCTAGGCGTGCCAGTGGCTATTTCGCGAGGCGAGCCAGTGGCGATTCGCCAGGCACGTCATTGACGATTGCTTTAGGCGCGCTAGTGGCTATCTCACTAGAACAAGCACAAACTGGGCAAGTGGCAATTTTTTACAGGGTAAACATTCATTGGTTGCGCTTATAAATTGGACTGAATTTGGGGTGGGCTTATAAATTGGCACTGGACTTAACATAGTCCTGGGCTTCTATCCGGGGAATGATGGGAGAATTGCATGTTCTGGTGAGAGCCATTTGCAGACGTTGGATTTCTTGAAGTAGTTCCTGTGGATGTTGATGTCCCTCTCAAAACCAGCACCCCCCCCCCATAGGTCCGATCCAGCCAGGAACACGTGGGCATGAGCGCACAGCAGCTTGTCCAATATGGCCACGATTCCTATGTGGACAGAAGGGGGAGCGTGAGAGAGCAGAGAAAGGGAGGGCTGTGAGGAGGGGGGAGGGCCGTATGAGGAGGGCGGACAGGAGAGTACATGGCAAGAGAGGAAGAGGAGGTGAGCTGGAAGGAGAAGAGGAGGTGAGCTGGAAGGAGAAGAGGAGATGAGGGCTGTGATGAGACACAGGAGCAGCTAGTTCCACTCTTTTGGAGAATCTTGAAGGAAGGGGAAGGGGCATGGGCGGAAACACGGAGACGCGGAAACGCGGAGACGCGGAGACGCGGAAACACGGAGACGCGGAAACACACGGAGACGCGGAAACACACGGAGACGCGGAAACACGGAGACGCGGAAACACGGAGACGCGGAAACACACGGAGACGCGGAAACACACGGAGACGCGGAAACACGGAGACGCGGAAACGCGGAGACGCGGAAACACACGGAGACGCGGAGACGCGGAGACGCGGAGACGCGGAGACGCGGAGACGCGGAAACGCGGAGACGCGGAAACACGGAGACGCGGAAACACACGGAGACGCGGAAACACACGGAGACGCGGAAACGCGGAGACGCGGAAACGCGGAGACGCGGAAACACGGAGACGCGGAAACACGGAGACGCGGAAACACGGAGACGCGGAAACACGGAGACGCGGAAACGCGGAGACGCGGAAACACGGAGACGCGGAAACACGGAGACGCGGAAACACGGGGACGCGGAAACACGGAGACGTGGAAACACGACACTCTGTGTCTGTGAACCTCCCCTCTCTGAACACGAGCCCCACCTTGAAGCTGCTTGCCACCCCAGCTTCGCTGTCCCACCTGTGAGCTGCTTTGCAAGTGTTACTTTTGAAACAGCTTGCCGTCCCCACCTGTGAGCTGCTTCGCAAGTGTGAGGTACTACTCCGTCCAGTGCTGGCAGAACGCCCCACCTTACTTGGAAATTGTTTAGCTGGCGTGTCTCAGCCAGTTTCACAGCCTTACTCCCAACGCGGCGACGCCCCACCTGTGAGCTGCTTCGCAAGTGTGAGGTACTACTCCCCCCACTGCCGGAGATACGGCCTGAAACTGTTTTGCCAGTTTCAATCAACCAGTCCGGCAGCCATTATGCAAGCACACCTGTGAGCTGCTTGGCCAGGGAGAGGTACTGCTCCGTCCAGTGCTGGCGAAACGCCCTGAACTGATCCACATCCACCACTCCCGTCCCTGCCACCTGCTCCTCTGCCCGCCGAAACCTGGCGATCTCAGCGTCGGCCTGTACGCCCTTGGCGTCGGTGAGAAGCATCCAGAAGGCCAGGTTGCGCGCCGAGGTGATGAGAGGCATGCCGATAATCATTGGCACTGCTGTTGTGAGGCTGGGTGGGTGGGGGGGAAGAGGGGGGAGGGAGGGGTCAAAGTTTTGGGATGGTGGGTGAGAAGCATCCAGAAGGCCAGGTTGCGCGCCGAGGTGATGAGCGGCATGCCGATAATCATTGGCACTGCTGTTGTGAGGCTGGAAAAGGGAAGGGTGGGGAAGGGGTAACAGGGGGGGTGGGGGGAAGGGGTAACAGGGGGGGTGGGGGGAAGGGGTAACATGGGGGGTGGGGGGAAGGGGTAACAGGGGGGGTGGGGGGAAGGGGTAACATGGGGGGTGGGGGGAAGGGGTAACAGGGGGGGTGGGGGGAAGGGGTAACATGGGGGGTGGGGGGAAGGGGTAACATGGGGGGTGGGGGGAAGGGGGTAACAGGGGGGGGTGGGGGGAAGGGGTAACAGGGGGGGTGGGGGGAAGGGGTAACATGGGGGGTGGGGGGAAGGGGTAACAGGGGGGGGTGGGGGGGAAGGGGTAACATGGGGGGTGGGGGGAAGGGGTAACAGGGGGGGTGGGGGGAAGGGGTAACATGGGGGGTGGGGGGAAGGGGTAACAGGTGGGGTGGGGAGAAGGGGTAACAGGGGGGTTGGAGGGGAGGTTTGGGAGGGGGAAATGGGGGAGTGGGAAACGAGGGAAGGGAATTAGCATGGGGTTCTCCCTTTCATCTGATTAGAGTCAGAAGGGCTGCATCTAATTAGCACGGGGCTTTGAGATGGGGGAGAGCAGCATCTAGCAGGTGGGACGAGTCACGAGAGGTGATCTCAGCGTCAGCCTGCCCCCCCCTGGGCGTGGCGTGGGTGAGAAGCATTTTTGAGTCGACTCAAAAATCGACTCACTACACGAGAAGCATCCAGAAGGCGACGTTGTGCGCCGACGTGACGAGCGGAATGCCGATAATCATTGGCACTGCAGTTGTGAGGCTGGGGAGGGGGGGGGGGGGCGGGGGAACGAGGCGAGGTGATCTCAGCGTCAGCCTGCCCCCCCCTGGGCGTGGCGTGGGTGAGAAGCATCCAGAAGGCGACGTTGTGCGCCGACGTGACGAGGCTGGGGAAAAGAAGACACTGGTAGCACCGGGGTAAGGACGACCTTTCTCGGCCTTTTCCACTCTGCCTCCCCCTCTCTGCTCCTCCCTTTCCCCTCATCCTCTTCCCCTCACCCTTCCCCGTCTCACCCTCTCTGTTCAGCCGCACACCACCATTGCTGGAAGGAATCCGGCACCACCGGGGGGCTGCAATATGATGGCCTCTGCTCCTTCATTAACTCTCGCCCTTTCCTCCTCTCCCTTCCCCCTCACACTCCCCCCGTCTCACCCTCTCTGTTCAGCTGCACACCACCATTGCTGAAAGGTATCCGGCACCACCGGGGGCTGCAATATGATGGCCTCTGCTCCCGCCTCCAGCTGATTGGGGAATTTGTGTGTGGGGGGAAGGGAGTTGGGGGGGATGGGATGGAGAGTGAAGTCGGAGGGGAACCAAACCACATCGACTCCACGTCATCTGCGCACATGACATGCGAGTGCATCCGTGCACATGACATGCGAGTGCATCTGCGCACATGACATGCGAGTGCATCTGTGCACATGACATGCGAGTGCATCTGTGCACATGACATGCGAGTGCATCTGTGCACATGACATGCGAGTGCATCTGCGCACATGACATGCGAGTGCATCTGTGCATCACCCTATACAAGCACCTGTGGGATGTGGTCAGTCATACCTTTTTCGAGTCGACTCATCAGTAATACCTTCAGAAATTGAGCGGACGCCCTTGTGTGGGGCGTGCAGTGCAACCACATCTCAGTAATCACCATTGCCGTTTCCGCAGTGTGTGTGCGTGGCTCTTACCTTTCGGTCCAGCCGATAAACGGAACCTTTATGAGGAAAGGCTTTTGAGGTGCCTCCACAGCCCACGACTGAACACCTTGGGGAAAGGGCTTTTGCGGTGCTTCTATACAAATTTAGTTATCACGTGCTTCTTACCTTTTGCTCTAGCCGGTCAACCGAGCCCGTGAGTGGGTTCTCCACAGCCCACAACTGAACACCTTGGGAGAGAGCGCATACCACAGGAGGTAGGGATTGATGTGGGATGGGAAGGGAGGGGAAGAGTGGGGCCGGGTGGGTCTGAGAGCTGCGATACAACGCAGCCAGGTGCACTGAGCAGGACCTGCTTGGGTGCACGCTTGTTGACTAGGTGACTTTTGAGTCGACTCAAAAGAGCTGCGATACAACGCAGCCAGGTGCACTGAGCAGGACCTGCTTGGGTGCACGCTTGTTGACTAGGTGACTTTTGAGTCGACTCAAAAGAGCTGCGATACAACGCAGCCAGGTGCACTGAGCAGGACCTGCTTGGGTGCACGCTTGTTGACTAGGTGACTTTTGAGTCGACTCAAAAGAGCTGCGATACAACGCAGCCAGGTGCACTGAGCAGGACCTGCTTGGGTGCACGCTTGTTGACTAGGTGACTTTTGAGTCGACTCAAAAGAGCTGCGATACAACGCAGCCAGGTGCACTGAGCAGGACCTGCTTGGGTGTGCACGCTTGTTGACGTTCAACTTCAACTTTTGAGAAGCCTCGAAAGTCACAGCATGACGCCGTACAGGCGTTGTGGCCTTGTGACGTGACGTGCGACACTCCTCACTCACAGCATAGACAACAACTCCTGCTCAGTGCCTGCTCCCACATCACACTCACAGCATAATCTGCCACTGCTAACAACAACGCACGTGAAGGGAAGAAGAATGAGGCGCCTCAAGGTATGCCCTCCCTTCAGCCACTCCTCAAAATTTGCAACATGGAATTATCTCCGTCTGTCACTCCTCGGAAAATCTCACGTGAGGGGAAGCGATGCTGCACTTACATTGCGGAATCTGCCCTGCCGCCCGGAGCCTGTGAGCGTCTCGCAGCATGTGGAGCGAGTTGGTTTCTGAGACGTCTCCAAACTCACCATTCATGCAACAGTATGCAATGCTGCACTTACATTGCGGGATTTGGCCAGCCGCTCGGAGCGTGTGTGCGTCCCGCAGCATGTGGAGCGAGTTGGTGGGCATAAGTCGGTTCACGAGCGGCCAGGAGCGCATTGGGTGGGCTGGGTGGTGGAATGAGAGGAGTGGTAGTGGGAGAGGGGTGGGGTAGGTAAGCAACAGGAGTGTGGGCATGAGTCAGTTTAGAAGTGGCCAGGAGCAATGGGAGGGATAATGAGGGCTGGGGATGTGGAGAGTATTGGCCTGGGATGCCCTGGAAACGGAAGGGAAGAAGTGATTGGGTTGGGACAGCAGCAACGACAGCAGCAGCAGCAGCGGCGGCAGCAGCAGCAGCAGCAGCAGCACCACCACCACCACCACTACAAGTTACACGTACCTCCTGAGAGCAGCAGCAGGGCACCTGGAGAGCTGCCCTCCCTGCCCCCGGCCACCTGAACCGCCTTCTCCACCATCTGCTGCCTCACCGCCTCTGTTGTTTTCACCTGAGCCGCCACCGTCAGCACCTGGGAAACCACCTGCGCTGCAACAGAGCCGTCTGGATCCTTCCGAGTGGTCTGGCTACCCGTTGTGCTGCTTGTAACAGGCTGAGACTGGTTACCAACACTGGCAGCTAAGGAAATATCATGACTGTGAGTTGACACGTCGGGAGTGCTTGTATTCAAAGTGAGGGACGACAAAGGAGGTAGGGGGGGGAAGGAGGAGGTAGGAGGGGGAGAGGAGGAGGAGGAGGGGAGTGGAAGCAGAGAGAGGGGCAGCTGCAAGAAATCTCTCATGCCGGCCGGAGCAGGCAGGTCCGGCAGCACTGTGGCTCGGAACCTGCCCGAAGCTATAACGTCCGCCGCCTGAGCCTGCCACGTGGCAAGGGAGAGGTGGCAACGATGACGTCATGTCTTATGGGGCTTTAAATGGCAGATAGGCAGAGACGAGGTGCAAATGGACACTGTTACCGTTATTGTTGTGACCGTTACCTGTTTGCCTTCCGTCACTTCCAGCGTCAGCATAAACCGCTGGTCGTCAAACAAGCCGTCAGCGCCTGCTGCCGCGCGTGCTAGAGGCGGTCGAGCGGGCTTTCCTGGAACCTTCCTCTGCCCTGACGCCAGGAAACCACCAGCGGAAAACGCGCGCGCGGGAATAGTAAACGCGGAATGGAACCTCCGTGTGTGGCGGAGGGATTGGGCCAATGCCATTCCGCTGGTCCTTGGCTGTCTGGCGGATGCTCCGCTATAGACTGTTCCGCTGCAATCCAGCCGCAGCATTCTTCTCAGAAACAAAACCAGCTTTTGCGAAGTCAGCTCTCAAAAGTCGCGTCTGTTTCGTTGCCCCACCAGCATGACTCTTACAGTGACATCAGACGAGTTTCAAGCGCAGTCTTCTTAGGAACCTCTGAGAGTGCAGTAATCTACTGGCGAATTATGCAATTTGCTTGTTGCAAATCGCGACAACTTCAGCCTGCTGGCTTGTTCTCGTGCTGAGGCAAGCTGAAGAAACCCACATTTTGCGTGCTTCGGTAATGCGTTGTAGAATGGTTGAAGGAGCAAACTCAAATGCTCCATTTCAGGGACAGCATCTAGGCAGCATCATTGCACTTCTAGGTTATTTCTTCAAAGTGGGTCACTTCCTGTAAGAATGAGTGGTAAATGTGCTGGATTTTTTGCAATAACACTACGGCCTAAAGATCCCCGTCTCGCTATTGAGTAGGAAAGTTCCAAGGTGGAACTACGGTGAAACTGAGGGTGTTTACCAAGACATTAGTTCTTTTCAAAGTCACAATGAAGGCATGTCTAAAATCTTGGGTTAGCTGATAGGTCGAATCACAACCACTGGACACCTGTAAGGTAGAGGGACATACATGGGTAGGGAAGGAGAGGGGTAGAAAGTGGAAGAAGAGGGGGAAGGTGATCAAGGGAAGGTGGATGCCTAAGGGGGAAAGGCTTGAGTAGGAGACCGGAGTGGTGGGGTGAGGGAACGTGAACAAACACAGGAAGAAAAGGAATGCAAGAGAGCAAAAGAAAGCAAGGAAGGGGCGGGACGGAGGAAGGGAGGGGCGGGGGGTAGAAGGAGGTGGGAGTGATGGCCCCGCTTGAAGAGCAAAGGGCAGTCACAACACGCTTTGTCAAGGAGGAGAGAAGGGGGAGATGCGCACACACACACACACACACACACACACACACACACACACACACACACACACACACACACACACACACACACACACACACACACACAGGCGAAGCACACAGAGGGGGCGGAGGCGACACACAGGGGCGGAAGCGCACACACGAAAGGAAGCACACAAAGGAGGCACAAGGACACACAGGGGCGGAAGCACACAGGGGGTGGCGGTGGTTTGGGGGGGGGGGGGTGGTGGGGGGGGTGTCGGGGGAAGCACGGCACAGCTCCAACTGTGCATATTTGGAGCAGTAGTCGCAGACCGAACCAAGGAAGCTTCCATTTCTTTTAGATGTCTCAAAACATAAAAGCACAGCTCTCACTGACCGAGCGTATTTGGAGCAGTAGTCGCTGACGGAGCCGAGGAAGCTTCTCTTGACGGGCCCGTGGCCATGGCTGCCAATGACCAGCATGCTCGCCTCGTTCTCCTCACACGCCTGGCAGATCGCCTCCCTCGCCTCGCCCTGATACACCTTCGTCGTCACGCTCGTCACCTGAGAGCAACGCAACACATGCAGACGTCTCAAAACACGTCTCAAACTTCCTCACACGCCTGGCAGATCGCCTCCCTCGCCTCGCCCTGATACACCTTCGTCACGCTCGTCACCTGATGGCCACGCCGCATGACACAGATTCAGCAGGTTGCTGTTCGTTCAATATTATTTATCTCTCTCCAATTTCTGAAGATTCAGTTACGAGGTTCGGGAAACGCAGGGTGGGCAACAGATGCAGTGCTAAGCCTTCAATGCCAGCGCGGTCGTCAGTTGTGGTTAATGAACTTAAGTTTTACCACCCTTGGGTTTTGTTATGTTTGGAGTACGTTGAAGCCTTGACGCCACCCGCCCTGTTCATAACATGGCCCACCCCGATCGTGTTCATATCCCAGCGCCAACCCCGTTGAGACGGCAGCAGCTCACCTGGTTCTCCTTGCAGATGGCTTCGGCCCTCTCGGCGACGCTCTTCGTCTCCTGCTCCTTGTCGTCGTCCACGCTCAGCTCGTTGTCCTCGGGAATCGCGAATGCTGGCGGAATATACAGGAGAAAATAGGGCAGAGTGAGATCACGCTTGCGACGTTTGTAATAGGAGAGAAAAGAGCCCGGCATGCAAGTGATGTGTGTGTGTGTGTGTGTGTGTTCTTTTTTTTCCTCTCGCAACGCAAAATGCGGAGAAATTATATACGCTGCGCGCTATGTACCTCCTGCGCTACTGGTGATGGGAGTCTCCACTGTAACGAGTATCGTCTTATCTGCGTCCTTCCGGATAATGTGGTCAAACGCCCTGCAGAACAATGCGCGGGGTGTGAGCGACCGACGCTTTCCGCACGTGAATGTGTGCTAGGCGGGAAACTCGTTCGTGGCAGGAAATATGCACGCATCTCTCGAAACCGCGTTCAAGGCATAAATTGAAGAAAACTGGCTGACAGCATGCGGGCATACCACTGCAAGGCGTAGAAGCTCTGCTCAGACTCATCAACTGCGACTATGATGTTGCGACCCGCGACCTCCGTTGTCATCGTTGGAAGAGCACTGCGACAACCGTGTATGCGAAACAATACGCTAACACTAGCTCAAGGTCGAACGGACTAATTAGTAAGTACGAACCTAGTTAGTGGAAAACCTTGCAACAATGTCTACAGGGCAGCAGACAAGAAGAATGGTGACTGGTCTTACGACAATGGTGACTAGTCTGAGAAATTGCTGAATAGGACTAGCAGGGAATGCTGACTCCGTTTTTAGGTTCCAAGGGCTTGGCAGACAGTTGCTGTTGGTGGTCCAGTTTGCCCTCTTGTCTGTGGAGCCTAGGAAGCTCTGCGAAGTAATCAGTCTTTCGAAAAGTTACCCTTCAGTGCGAGCATTACCTTCCATGCGTTACACGGATTCGCGCCATGTTCGCAATCGCAAATGGTACACGAATCGCCCCTCTCCAGTCAGGGATTTCGTGCATCGCGAAGCTCGCAAAAGATCTTCCCCCCGAAACTCGCAGATTCGCCTTATCCAAACTGTTCCGCATTTCCCCAACCGTAGTGAAGACAGAAAAGCATATGAGATACGTCCACGTCACACCACCAGAGTTGTGTTCAGCTTGTACTCGATTGAGGAACGGTCATCACTCAGAGCGACGGCTGTCATTCGCGCAGGCCGCCGTTAGCAGCAGTCAACAAAGGTTGTATCTTGTTGAATCGATTCGCTTTCGGAGGTCTGTCAGTAGGTTCACCCGTGCAGTCCTTAGCCGTTTCCTCCAGCTCGCCAGCCATGCTTGCGTCGACTATCTCCCTGCCGTCAGCGTCGTCATCGTTGTCGTCGTCGCTGTCGTCGTCGTCGTCGCTAGTTCAACGAGCGCCAACTGGAGCTCGCAGCATTCCGTTCGCGACGACCGGGCGACCGGGGAGTGGATTCGGGCGAAGGAGAGCGGTGCTGGTGACAGCAGCCACAGGCGCCGGGGCGAAGGGGTTCGGCAAGGCGGACGACGGCAAGAGCCGGGTGCGATGCGACTCGTTGCTTCTGAGAATTCTCAGAAGCGACTTCAATTGATAAAGATTCCTCTATGTTGAACGTGCTCAACGCACTGTTGGAAAGCTCTAGAAGAGGACGTATTCGAGGTTCAAGGGGATACAGGCATGATCCTTTCGCAGGCCTGCTGCTGCTGTAGACCATTCACGCAAACTGATCATGCTCTGATGACCATTCATGCATGACTGATCATGACCATTCATGCATTACTGATCATGGCCATTCATGCATTACTGATCATGACCATTCATACATTACTGATCATGACCATTCATACATTACTGATCATGACCATTCATACATTACTGATCATGCACTGATGACCATGCAGTGGTGACATGCACGGACATTGTATGTATGTCATGCCATTATGTGCAGCGTTACGGCATGCCACGCTGCGATCTGCCGCTTGTGCAGTGCTGTCGTATGGCCTCTCGCATTCAAATCATGGAACCTCCCATGTGGAATTACACAACCCTATTGTAGCATATCACACATACCCGAAAACACGGCGACTCACATGCCATACCATATCCTTACTTCTCACGCGGCATATCATCTCATTTTACCCCACGTGCCATTTTGCGACTTCAGAAGCCCAGCCCCAGCAAAGGCAGTGGGCCCCCCAAGCAAGATGCGGCCATTCCAGGCGTCAATGAAAACGGTAACCTCCAGCCCACCTAATCACAATGATTCTTTTACCTCAGTCGAACCCTAGTCAGAAAACGGTGCTTCATGCTGCAAAGTTTTGGGAATTAAAACCGACCAACCCATTGCAATTTCTCTGTGCCATGCCATGACGTGCCATGCCTGCACGGCCAGAGTGGGCGCCAGATGTGTCGGCGGCGCAAGAGGTGTCGCAGAGGCCCTCCCGTGCTGCCTCGGACGATGACCGGCTGTTTGAGGAGCGCCTGAGGGAAGTGCGCCGGTGAGTAGATGAGTGGGGTGGGGGAAGAGTGGGGGGTGTTGGGGGAGGAAGGGTGGGTGTCTGAAGGGTGTGGGAGGGAGGGGCGGGTCATCATGGCTCTTGGGGAAAGTGGTGCTCCGCCCCCCCGTGTTGCCCAAGAGTGGGAAGGGTGTTGGTGTTGCCTCAGCTCAGACGATGCCTGCCTCGTTGCAGAGCGCCTGAGGGAAGTTTGTTTTTGAGACGTCTCAAAAAGTAACTTCTTCCAAGAGTGGGATGAGAATGGTGTTGCCTCAGCTCAGACGATGCCTGCCTCGTTGCAGAGCGCCTGAGGGAAGTGAGACGCTGAGTTAATGAGTGGAGTGGGGGAATAAACTGTGGAACTGTGGGAGGAGAAACTGTGGGAGGAGGGTAAGAGAGGGGATTCAGCGGGAGGAAAGGGGGCTTGTGCGAGTGTGACATTACGGATTTGGAAGGATGCAGGCCGCTCTGGCCTCTCTTAAGGGCACCTTTGCCCACTCTCCTTGCCTCTTTCCCCCAGCCAGTCTCGTTGCCTTGGCCTCTCTCCCCCTGCCAATCCCCCCCTCGCCACCCCTGCCTGGTCTTTGCCCTTCCTGCTCTCAGGCAAGCGGAGGAGAAGAAGCGGGCAGCAGCGGTTCAAAGCACAGCACAGCAGCCATAGAGTATGACAACAATCCGCTGCCACACGCAAGACATGACTGAACACACACACACACACACATTGCATCCCACACTCTGCCTTTACTTCGACTTCTCGCCCTGTTGGCAGGCAAGCGGAGGAGAAGAAGCGGGCAAAGGTGGTGAGGAGCACAGCAGCCATAGACTACGACAACCCGCAGACAGAGCCCCTGGTGGACACGGCTGCTCTCACCAAGGACCTGCCCACTAAGGTGAGTCGTGCTGTGCTGCAGTGGCAGGGACAGGGAAAGCACTCTGAGAGGCAGGGGAACAGCAGGGGCAGGGGAGCAGCACAGCAGCCATAGACTACGACAACCCGCGGACAGAGCCCCTGGTGGACACGGCTGCTCTCACCAAGGACCTCCCCACTAAGGTGAGTCGTGCTGTGCTGTGCTGCAGTTTCAGTCTCACCAGGGGAAGGAGATGCATGCACCCCTAGGGGCAGAGAGGTGCAGACAGAGACGCTGGAGGACACGGCTGCTCTCACCAAGGACCTCCCCACTAAGGTGAGGCGTGCTGTTGTGCTGCAGTGGTACGAAGCAAGGGAAGGAGATGCATGCAACCCAGGGGAAGAGGGGTGCAAACAGAGCCCCTGCTGGATCCTGCTGCTCTCACCAAGGACCTCCCTACTAAGGTGGGCTGGCGGTGGGTGGAAATTGGAATGGAATGGACTATAACGCCCTTTGGCAGACTTATGGCATTGCTGCCACGGTGTTTGCTGCCATATTCGCCTTCGGAGACATTCTCCCCGCCCCTCGCCTCGCCCCCTTATCATACCAATCCTTTTTCTTGCTGCCACCTTCGGTTCCCCCTTTCCCCCCTCCTGGTGTGTCCAGATTGGCATTGGCTTAGCGGCCACGGTGTTTGCTGCCATATTTGCCTTCGGAGACATTCTCCCCTCCCCGCGCCCCCCTCCCATACCAATCATTGTCCTGCTGCCTCCTTCGGTTCCCCCGTCTTCCCCCCCCACTTCCTCCCCCCGCTGGCAGATTGGCATTGGCATTGCTGCCACGGTGTTTGCTGCCATATTTGCCTTCGGAGACATTCTCCCCGAGCCTTCCTCCCCCCCGTATGTGACTGATCGATTGTGAACTCCATTGGTTACATTACATGCATGTGTAGGGTTATTCATGTGACTAGTCCTTCCTGCAAGAGAGATAGAGGCAGATCTATCCTCATTCTCTCATTCTAAGTCCTCCCACCATGTTCCCACCATGTGAGTCCTACCGACTGCGTCCATTTCGTTTCTATTAATTCCCCTCCCAACCTTTCCCAACCCATCCTGGATCCGCCATGTTACAGGCAGCAGCAGATGGTGGATGCGAGTGGCATTGCAGTCAACAAGATGAGCGACGCTCAGAGGAAGCAGCAAGAGGTGAGCCCTCCCTCCCTTGCTCCCCACTCCACCGCCCTCATGCATGCTGTGTTGCACATATATATGCGTAGTCCCTTTTCCCTTCTGAGTCGACTCAAAAGTCTCCTCGTTTGAGTCGACTCAAAAGTCTCCCCACTTCACCGCCCCCATGCACCGCCCACATATTTGCCCCCACTCCACCGCCCTCTTCTCTGTCTCATCCTTCTCCTCCCTCCCTCCCACCCTTCCCCCCTTGCTTACTGCCTGCCACACACACTCCCCTGTGCCCACTTCCCCCCAATGAATCCCGCAGGACCAGCCGAAGGAGTTTGAGGGGCGGCTGGCCGCCACACCGGACAACCGGGAGGCACTGGAGGGAGCTGCTGTGCTGTATGCAGAGCTGGGGCAGTATGGGCAGGCGGCTCATGTGTCACCTCTGCTCCCCTTGCTCCCACTGCTCCTTCTGTGATACCCTGTTTCTCCCAATCAACCCTACAGGACCAGCTGCAGGAGTTTGAGGGACGGCTGGCCGCCACACCGGACAACAGAGAGGCGCTGGAGGGAGGGAATTACAGTGCTGCATTCGAAGCTGGGGGGTAATATGGGCAGGCGGCTCAAGAATAGCCTCTACTTTTCCTGCTCCCACTGCTCCCCCCGCAATTTACTGGCCCCACCCATCAACCCCACAGGACCAGCTGCAGGAGTTTGAGGGGCGGCTGGCGGCCACACCGGACAACCGGGAGGCACTGGAGGGAGCTGCAGTGCTGCACGCAGAGCTGGGGCAGTATAAGGAGGCGGCTCAACGCCTGGAGCAGCTCAGCCAGGCACGTGCATTGCAGAACCGCCTCCTTGGCTTGTAGGCTTGTAGAATGGTCAGTTGGGCTGGGCAGAATGGGAAGGGTCAGCCGGGCAGCAGGGGGAGGCGCTGGAGGGAGGGAGGGAGGGAGGAAGCTGCAGTGCTGCATGCTGAGCTGGGGCAGTACGGGCAGGCGGCTCAACGCCTGGAGAAGCTCAGCCAGGCACGTGTATTGTGGCATGGTAGGGACAGCATGGCATGTGGATGGTGGCATGGTAGGCGTGAGGGATGAGTGGCGCGGCACAGTTTGGAACTGAGCTGAGGCAGTATGGGCAGGCGACTCAACGCCTGGAACAGCGCAGGCAGGCACGTGGGCAAAACGGAGACAGTAGAGGTGGGGGGCGAGGCTGAGGGGTTCGGAGTGCAACACGGTAGGAACTGGCAGCATGGGCAGTGGTTTTGAGACGTCTCAAAACACTAGTTCAAACACGCAGCATGGGCAGTGGAGAGGAGAGTGTGCTGCAGTGCTGCGTGGTTAGCAAGGGCAGAAAGGGCTGGCTGGCAGCTCAGCGCGTGGAGAATTCATTGTGAACTCACCTCATCACGCTCCGTCCTCTGCTGCTCCTCCCATGCTGTGTTGATTTTTTAGGCGCCTCAGAAACCGAGCAGGGGCAGTACGGGTCGGCAGCTCAGCTCCCGGCGAATCTCGCTGTGAACTCATCTCATCACACTCGACCCTCTGCTTCTCCTCTCCCCGATCCTCTGCTTCTCCCTGATCCTCTGCTTCTCTGGGATCATCATCTTATATTGCCTCTGACATCGCCCCGGAGGACCCCGAGGTGCAGCGCTTTCTGAGGGAGGTGGAGAAGCAAGGCGCACTGAATTGAAGCACACCTCACCATGCTTGTGAACTCAACACACAGCACCCTCCGCTTCTCCCCCGTTCTATTGCCTCTCAGATTGCCCCGGAGGACCCCGAGGTGCAGCGCCTTCTGGGGGAGGTGCGATTTGAGCTGGGCGAGTATGGCGCCAGTGCTGCGGCTTACAGGCGAGCTGTCAAGGTGAGACGGAGTGCAGCAAGGTGAGGAGGAGTGCAGTAAGGTGAGGAGGAGTGCAGCAAGGTGAAGTTGCCGCATTCACGTCACATCGCATCACATCACATCACATCACATCACATCACATCACATCACATCACATCACATCACATCACATCACATCACATCACATCACATCACATCGAATCGCATCCCATCGCATCGCATCGCATCGCATCACGACACACTTGCCTCCCTCCCCTCCTCCCCTCTCCCTTCCTCCCCTCCTCTCTTCCCCCCCTCCATTCCAACAGTTATCGCCTGTGTAAATCTTTGACAAGCATTTGTAAAAATGACCCCTCTTTTCCACCACCCCTCTTTCTTCCCTCCGTACAACCTCTGCTGTGCCTTCCCCTCCACCAGGTGTCGCCTGTGGAGTCTCTGGAGGTGCTGCAGGGGCTCACAGGCGCTCTGCTGGCTGACAACAAGCCGCAGCAGGTGCGTGTGGTGGTGCGGTGTGGTGCGGTGGTGTGGGATGGGATGGGATGGGATGGGATGGGATGGGATGGGATGGGATGGGATGGGATGGGATGGGATGGGATGGGATTGGATGGGATGAGAAGGGTTGTGATGGGATGGGGATGGCTTGGCATGGCATGGCACGGCATGCCATGCATGTGGTGCGGATGGTGCATGCTACTGGGGGAGGCATGTGCATCATCATAGACGGCAGCTGCAGCAACACTAACAGACACCGACTCTTCTCAAAAGTTTCCCCCACAGGTCTCCACCCCACCTTCCCTCCTTTCTTTGATCCCCTTCTGTCCCATCCTCCCTGCCCCCCACATTACCTCTCTCCTTCCCCCTCCCCTCTTTCCCCTTCTCCCTCACTTTCAACAGTCCCAGGCAGTCGACGAGCTTCTAGCAGCGCGACAGCTGGCTTTCTTTGATCCCCTTCTGTCCCATCATCAGCAGCATCCCCCCCAGGCAGTGGACGAGCTTCTAGCAGCGCGACAGCGGGTAGGAGCAGCAGCAGCACTGGGGCACTCACCATCGTTTCAGAACTTGACCTCTGAAATCTTCTTCCCCCCTCTCATCCCCCTTCCCTCACTTTCATTTATCTCAGGCAGTGGACGAGTTGCTAGCAGCACGGCAGCGGATGGAAGCAGCAGCAGGGAAGGAGGTGGAGGAGGAGGGGGTGGCAGATGAGGTGCAGGTGGCGCTGCTGCTGGGGAAGGCGTATGCATTGTCGCTCAGGGATAGCTGAACCACCAACACTGGGAGATTCCGACTCGCCTCAAATGTCTCCCTCCCACTCCCTCCCACTCCCTCCCACTCCCTCCCACTCCCTCCCACTCCCCCCCCCCCCTCCCAGGCAGTGGACGAGCTGCTAGCCGCGCGACAGCGGGTGGAAGCGGCAGCAGCAGCAAGAGCCGGAGGAGAAGCGGTGGAGGAGGGGGTGGCGGACGAGGTGCAGGTGGCGCTGCTGCTGGGGAAGGCGTATGCATCGTGGGGGCGGCCGGGGGATGCTGCTGCGGTGTACGATGGGCTCATTGCGTCCCGCCCGGACGACTTCCGAGGCTACCTCGCCAAGGTCTGTTTGTATGGGATGACTTAGAGGGTCAATGCAACATTTTCAGCGGGTCAATGTAACAAACATCAACAGTTGCTGCTGCGGTGTACGACTTCCGAGGCTACCTGGCCAAGGTCCGTTCGTATGGGATGAAGTTCTGTTATGGACGTTTGTTTTGTGTGTGCGCCACATGTGAAGGTTTGTATGGGATGAATTTCCGGGTCAATGCAGCAACATCAAAGGATGCTGCTGCGGTGTATGACGGGCTCATTGCCTCGCGGCCAGACGACTACCTGGCCAAGGTTTGTATGAAATAAATTTCTGGTTGTTATGGGATTGGACACCCTTGCATCTACTCCATCTTCTTGCGATCCGCTCTCCTTTCATAGACCTGAAACCCTGAGCCCGCTGAACCGTAAACCCTGAACCCTTCTACCGATCTACTCCTGATTCTCCAAAGAAAGCAATAACTCAAGGTCACTAGGCAGTCTGTCAGGATAAGTCGCGCCTTGTCTGTGTCTGTGACTCGTGTATTTTGCAGGGCTTGTTCCTCAAGGATAATGGCAACCAGGCAGAGGCTGACAGGATGTTTCTCCAGGTGAGCACATGGATGTTTCTTCGAGTAAGAGTGGGGATGTTTCTTCAGGTGAAAGCATGGGTGTTTCTTCAGGTGAGCGTGTATGTTTTTTTCAGGTTAGAATTAGCCAGCAGAATCACCCAAGCTTTCTGCCGTGTTGTTTTTCCTTGCCATAAAGCTGCTGCTGCACGTGTGAATGAATCATCCTAGTTATGGTAAGTCCTCCATGTGAATCGGCTCGTCATTCCTTTCCCCATTGGTCTCCATCACAGGCTAGATACCTGGCACCAGACCAGGTGAAGGTGCTTGTGGATCGGCTCGCAAAGAGATGACATTAAAATTAATGAGACGCGGATCCTTGCTGACAAGATGGAGTGATGTGTGCACTGAGAATGAAATAGTGTGGTGAAACTGGCCTGCTATGTCCGCAAGGCATGAGCTGCAAGTTTTGGCTAAAATCAACCGGAGCTTTCCATGCGTCTGACAACATAGAAAGAGACACCATTATGGTGCCTTTTGTTTAGTGTGTGTATGGATTAAAAGCAAGTCCAAGTGAAGTCTGGTTATAAATAATATATCGAAACCTGGGTACAGTATTTGGATTTTTTTCGTAGCAGTCAAGCTTCTGACATGATCAACGTGATGGCGCCATTGACTGACGGTGACTGACTGGCCGTTTCTATTCGGTGCTGGATCGATGCCATTGGTCCGTGCCTAACGATGCACCAGCCGTCGATTTCGTCTTCTAACATCCACACTCCATCGATGCTTGCCTCGTCAAGCCCGAATCCCCGATCCGATGCCTTGACGTGATCCAAGGACACCAAGTTGCAACTCCGGTTCATCTCTCCCTGCCTGCTGGACAACCTCGTTCCAGCAGCGCCGGAGATTTAGCCAATCAGAATGGAGGCCACGTGAAAGTCTAGAAGGGACCATGAAACGGCTTTGCATTCAGACGCAGCAACCCCCCACGCAACAACAAATTGAGTCCCAAAACGGACAAAATAGCACAATGGATACATGAGCAGCTGCCGTTCTATTGCGCACCGCAGCATTCTAAATGCGGTTCGCGCATGCGCGGCAATTCTCTGACTCCAGCACCGCAGCGCGGACATTGATCTGTGTACAGTTCAAGAAGATCCCACAAAGCGGAAGTTTCAAAATTGAGAATCGAGAGCGGAAGCTCGAATGACCGTACTGTACCTACGAAACGTTGCTTTGCGCCGCATGCATCTCGAAACACCGCCAATGCAACGAATCGGATCTTAACAAGGCACCGTATTGTACTGCGCGAAACCGTAGTGATGGCGCTTTTCTGTAAACGCGGTAACTTCTCTCCCCTTGACGTTGCTCCTAAATTCCTGCGAATCCCCCACGCTCCGCTAATCCCCGACCGAGAAGCGTCGTCTGCCTGGCAACAGCATGGCAGTACGGAGCGGCGGCAGTCTGGCTGCTTGTACTACCTCCCCTTCCTCGCTCTCAACGATGCCTGCAGCAGCAACTACAGTAGTTGCTTGGTGAATAACCGCGACCAGCCCACCTTCCTCAGTCAAGCAATCGCATTCGATCCATAGCCACAGAAACTCCATCACTCGACAACAAAATGCGTGAGCCGTCTCAGAAACCCGAGAATTTCTTTCTCTCAGCAGAGTCTTCACACAGACCTCCATATTCCCACCCCTCTGCTCTCCTCCGATCTTGGAGCCTCCAGAACTGTTGGCGAATCTTGCACAATAGACTACAACAGCCTCTACTGCCTCTCCAACAGTTTTGAGACTCCTGAAAAGCCTTATGCTTTCCACTCGGAAAGTTCCTAATTCCGTCCTTGTTCAAGAACTCGTAGAGCCTACGTAAATCTGCATTTCCTAAACCTTGTCGCAGTTATCAACTCATTCCGAGGTTCCGAGTCATAGCGGCGGGGTGCACGTTAAGACGTCAGGTTCTCGTAGCACTTACAGCGTACGAAGGGGGGCGGCGCGTGCAACTTAGCCGAATCCCGGGTAGATTCGGAATCTTATAAGCGATTGTTGATAGCCAGTCGGCATCCGCAGCTGCCGTGGGCCTACCAGCGGCACTGGATCTTCTGCTGTTTAAGCGTGCTTTGCGCCATCCTCGTCGAGCCGTCACGGCATCCGTACAGCCCAACGCATTGTTTACGTGTCGCCTGAGCTTCGGAACCTGCGACGCTTCAAACGCTTCGAACTTGGTTAGTGGTTTTGTCACTCGCTTTCACCTCTCAATCCGTTCGTCATGAGCTGTGCGGAAGATTCCGTGACGCGCCGCGAGGCAGCACCAACGCCAGCCGTCACAGGAGCAGACGTGCCGCGGCGCAGTGATTCGGTTCCGGTTATCTCCGCGCACGAGCTCACCCGCCGCTTCGTCTTTACGGATCTGCTAGGGGAGGGAAAGTTCGGCCGCGTTTGGCGCTGCTTGGACCGCCACGGGCCCACCAGCGAGCCGCTCGCGTGCAAGCAGATTCTCACCGCTCATCTCACGGCGGAGCAACGGCTGGCGCTTCACCGCGAAATCGCGGTTCTGCGGCGCCTGCAGGGCCACCCGAACGTGCTGCGACTGCATGCGATTTGCGACAGCGACGGCGGCGCGTTGGAATTACTTGGTTCGGAAACGAATTCGCGTGGTTCGGATGCGTTTGGTTCGGAGTGGGAGGATTCGTCTGTCGCGAATCGGGAACTCGTCGCGCGGCCTGGTGTGTATCTCATTACGGAGCTGTGTACCGGCGGCGACCTGTTTGACTTGATTGACCAGTTTGAACACGGCGTGGACGAACGAACCGCGGCGGGAATATTCGTCCAGATCGCGCGCGCCGTGGAATGGTGCCACCTACACGATATAGTCCACCGCGATATAAAGCCCGAGAACGTGCTTATAACGGGTCAAGCGCCGCCCTCGTCGCCGGCGTCCAAGCGAGCTTCTGATAGACGAAACATTTTCGCAAAGAACGGGATTTGCGGCCCGTCGTCGTCGTACTCGTCGTGCTCTCCCATTCTGCGCGTCCTTCTGCCCGTCTCCACCTCCCGCCGTGACTCCACTCGAGGATCAAAACAGCGTTCCCCAAAAGTCGACGCCTAGACTCGCGTCCTCTGCCTTTATTCTAACCTCCTCCTCCTGCTCATCCTCGTTACAAGACTTTTCGCTGCTTTCCCCTTCTTCCTCCTCTTCCTCCCCCTCCTCCTCTTCCTCCTCCTCCTCCGTCTCCTCCCATTCCTGTTCCTCCTCGCCCTTCCACGCCTTCGTCACCTCGTCTCCGCTTCCTTCTCCCCTTCCTTCTCCTGTTGCTTCTTCGCGTCCTTCCGCCGTCAAGGCACTTCATTCCAACAGCAATTCCGTCCAGGCGGTACACGCGCAATGGGACTCGCCGCGAAACGCGCCGCAGAAGTCCGCGCGCGCGTCCATCTTTCCGCACAGCCGTAGCGATCCGTCAGGCAGCGTTGCCGATGCTGCTGCTCGAGCTGCCGCCGCTGCTTCCCCTGCCGCCGTTGCCGCCGCCGCTGCTTCCGCTGCTGCTGCTGCTGCTGCGCGGGGAGTCACTTCGGCATGCTCCGCGTCGCCGCCAGCGGGCGCATGCACTGACGCGAGGGCTTCGCGGGCGGCCCTTCCTGCGCGAGCGATCCCGCGGCCCCAGATCGCGATTCCGCGCGCTTACTCCGCTGCGGAGATTAGTCCGCGCGCCTGTCATGCCGCCGCGGGAAAAGTCTCTGGCGAGAGCGCAGCAGCCGCTTCTTCACGGGGCGGGGGAAATGACGAGGAGGAATCCGATGCGGTTTATCCGAGCCTGTTTGGTGGGGCTGCCGAGCCTGAGGTTCGGCTCGCGGATTTCGGCATGGCGTGTGAGGTGCCTCCAGGCTCGGCAATCATGGGCCTGGCTGGAAGTGAACCGTACGAGGCTCCTGAAATGGTGGAGATGAAACGTTACGACCATCAGGCAGATGTGTGGTCCCTGGGGGTTCTCCTGCACACCCTCCTCTCTGCCACGTGGCCAGAATTCCCGGATGGAAAGCGTGAGCTTGTGCAAGAGGATTTGACGGTGCGCCCGTGGCCGTCGATCTCGGAAGACGCGAAGGATCTGATCCGTCAGATGCTGGTGGTGGATCCGAATGAACGGCTGGATATTCACTGCGTGCTTCAGCACCCGTGGTTGGTGAAATGGATGAGGAGGCAGAGAGGGCGGCCGCAGAGGGGCAATCGAGATGCTCCAGAATCGCTTGAGCTGCAGGTGCAAGGGCGTGTGAAGGAGCAGCTGCCGCAACAAGTGCAGCAGCAGCAGCAGAAGCAGAAACTGACAGATCGTAAAGGTGATCAAATGCCAGTCACAGTATCTGGGCTGGCAAGAAAGCAGCGCAGCAGTCGCACCAGCTCCTCGCTGGCCATTTACAGAGCTAACTCCAGTGATGATAACATCGCTGCGAGTGACATATCCAAATATAACACTTCTGCTCATTGCACTGTACCTGTTTCGGCCAGTGAATCAGAAGGCTCGCGATCAGCGACTGGGCCAACAGCAGAGCAGCACAGTCATCACCAACCAAGCCAGCTGAGGGAGGCCCGCGGCTTGCCCCCCCTGTCGCCTGTGATCCATCCTGTTCGAAAACAAGAGACTCGGTCCCAGCGGCCGCCACTACCACTAAATCTGCCTCGGCCACCTATGCTGGCTGTGCAGCCATAGTCAAGGTGAACAAATGAAAGATTAGGGAAGTTGATTGGTCGCATGAGGCATGACTGACAAACAGCCAGTATATTATATCAAGCCTGTGTAAAGGTTGGATTTGTGCTATGGCATTTAATAAGAAATGATTTGAGTATATATTGCACTCGTTTGCCATGTGTAAAATTGCCCAAGTCGGCGTCTAGCGTGTTCAGGGAGGATGAAGAATAATTCACTTCGTCAACATTAGCCAACGTCAAGAAACAGCATTGTGCTCTATGAGATTGACTTTTGGCTGCTACACACACTATGTTTTCGAAACAAATGATAATTGCGGACTTTTTTGTCATGCATATGCGCCAGCGAGCAATATCGACGTCACCTTGGGCATTCATGGCGTGGCGGCGGTGCCACTTGGCTCTCCCACAGGTCTTTTCAGTCTGACACCAGCAGCGCTTTGTCCTGGAAAAACCTCTGTTGCACCAATGACCTGCGAATCGGTTCCAGATAGGATCCAAAGCACGTTTCTGCGACCACCAGGTGCACTTGCGACACGATATCCTATCTGACAAATAGCGATGCAACGCCAGGGTGCTCAAGAAATGTTGGGGTCGCCGCATTCGTCATGTGGCCCTCTCCCACCTCGCTGTTTCGTTTGGCTTGTGTGCGAGCGCGCATGCGAAATCCAGGGGAAACCGAGTTTTCGCTCAGCTCTGAATGCGAGCCAACTGTTGGGCCCAAAAGAGAAACTCGCAATTATGGCGGCAATGAGGTTACTGTACCTCCTTTCCCTCGCTTTTGACAAACCACGGCTCTCCCCTATCTTCCCTCCGTCACGGCTCCTCCTCAAGCTGATCCCACTTTTCCCCCATATGCCCTTTCTGTCCAGCCCACTCTCCAGTAGGGTTGGCGTTTGTTGCTAGCTAAAGGGAGGCGAGGCTTCACGACGCTCACTGTTTGCGACCACCCTCGTTAGGTTGTCGCTTTCACTAACCAGCGAAAACCTGTTCCCCTGACCGCCCAACCTTGCAACTTTCTGTGCACGCTCCCACATCGGTTTTAGTATCCTTTCTACCTAGCAGATTGTTGACGTGCAAACCGCTGCCTAGCGCTTCGGTATGTCGGGTTCAGGAATATAACCATCTAGTTTCCATAACTTTGTTTAAATATCTAAGACAGTCCGACCTCTGTAAAAGCTAATCTCGTGTCGCAATGGGTTTCTTCCAATGGTGGGAGCGGCCGACGGATTTCCCACGTGTCATAAGTTGGGCGGCCAAATTCCCAAGGGACCGGTATTCTCTAGGTGACGTCATCGCCAACGGATCCAGCGGCGCCGTTTTAGAATGCACAGACAAGGAGACCGGCCAAGTGCTGGCCTGCAAAGTGATGCTCAAGAACGCGCTGCGAACAGAAGCCGACAAAAACGGCCTGCGGCGCCGGCTGGAGATCATGAAGCAGGCCGGCGCGCACCTGAACGTGGTGTCGCTCGTGGGCGTGTTTGAGGACACGTGTGCGATCTACGTGGTCATGGAGCGCTGCCTAGGTGGCGACTTGCTGGAGTACATCAGCAAAATGGGCGCGATTCCCGAGCCGCAGGCGGCTATTATGTTTCGGCAGCTCGCATCGGCCGTCGCCTTCTGTCACGACTATGGGATCCTACATCGCAACTTAAAGCCCGAGAACGTGTTTCTCACTTATGGGACGGCGGACGACCTTAACTACGCGTCGCCCGCGCTTTCCTCCTGTAGCTCCTTCTCCTCCTCCTCCTCTTTCTCCATCTTCTCCCCATCACTCTCCGCCTTCTCTACCCCGCAAAGCTCCCCCGCGCGGCATGCAAGCGCTTCCGCCTCCCCCTCCCCCTCGTTCAACTCCCCTTCCCCCTCTCCTTTCAGCAGAAGCTCCGCTGCTTCCCCCGCCCCATCCAGCTCGCCCTCCCCCGTTGGCTCTTCCCCCAGCCTTCCCCTCCCTTCCCCCTCGCCGTCCGCAGCACCTTCCGCCTCGCGCGCCCAGAACCCAGATTCCGGAGCGCTTTTTGAACCCAACTCCGAGCCCCCCGATTCCTCCGCCTCTCCCCCCTCTGCCTCCGCCTCCGCCGCCGCCGCCGCCGCCGCCGCCGGAGCAGCAGAAGCAGCCGAAGCAGTAGCTGCAGACGACGTTCCCGACGCAGCCCTCCCTTCGTCAACGCCAGCCTTTTTCGCGTTCAATTTCCAGGGCCCCTTCGTGCGACTGAACGACTTCACTCTGGCGACGCGTCGTCGCAGAGGGTCGTACGTGAGCGGCGCGGTTGGAAGCCTGCCGTACAAATCGCCAGAGATGATTATGAAGGGTCGGTCCAACGAGAAGGCGGACATTTGGAGCCTGGGAGTTATTCTCTACTCCATGCTATCCGCTCGGTGGCCCTTTTATTCGCCTAAGAAGGCGGTTCTTGAGCGGAAGATCCTGAATGGCCACGTCGACTTTTCCGGTGATCCCTGGCCGTCGATCTCAGATGACGCAAAGGATCTCGTCCGTCGGATGCTGGCTGTGAATCCGAATGACCGGCCGTCCGCTACGGAGCTTCTGAAGCATCCGTGGGTGCTGAAGTTTCTTATGGCGGAATCTCAGGAGAGCTCAGGCGTGGTTGCTGGCGCAGCAGGCACAGGAGTTGGGGGAAGTGGGGGGGTGGCGGTGGCGCAGCAAGTGAAAAACGGAAAGTTATCCGGGAGGGAGGTCACTGAAGAGGGGTGGAACTGTAACGATAGGGTGGGTGTATGCGATCTACACTTACATGTGGCGAACAATTGCTGGATTATGCTCTCCAAGATGATGCCGAAGATGACGTGGTGATGAGATTTAGGGTATGGGTGATGGATGGGCTAAAGAATCTGCACCTTCAGCAATGGAGGTGCTGTTGATGAGATGCAAGTGCACCACTTCCGCCTCAGTTATTCTATTACGTTTGCAGATGCCTGACAAACCAAACCATGTACATCCACAAGAGAATCCTCTACAGGCCTGCCCTTCCTTTGGTTCATTTTTGCATGCATCTTTGTAAGCTAAGAAACTAGACACATATGTACCATAGCCTGTGTATGGTCACCGTTTGTACCATAGTATTATCATCAGCTTATTCTTATCAACAGCTTGACCTACAAGTCCCTCCAATGAAGTTCAGAATGAAGGAATTGGATTGGTTGGAAGGCAATGACAAATGAAGAACGCCTTGAATACTTTTTATATAGAATCCTGTTTCAATATGAGCAGCCTTTTAGAATCCAAGGGTAAGGAAGACCTATCAACCATACATTCACAACATCTCATCCCCCTGGCCACGCCGCGTTCACTTGATCAAAGGGTCTCACTCTTCTCCAGCTTAGGCGTCCCACAAGACGTGCCCAGCACCTGCTCCCGCTTCTCATTCAGTGACTCGCTGATAGTCCGCGTAAGATCTAAGGTCACCGATTTAAGCTTGCTCTTACCCCGCCGCTCCTGCACCGTTTTCCCTCCTTCCCCCATTCCCTCTACTCCGCTTCCCACACTGCTGGAACGGCTGAAAGCGCCGCCGCTGAAATCGCTACAGCTGCTGGGTCCCTCCCACCCTTCTGAAAAGCTGTCAGCATAGGAACTCTCGTCTCGCCGGACTCTATCTGCTGAGAGAGCACCTGTTGATTCTGAGTCGTAGCCCAAGCTCCCTGCTGAGCTGGATGACCGCGTACGGATAAGAGCGGCTCCAGATTCGCTCTTCAATCTTTTGTCCCGGATGTTTAGAAAATCAGGGTCAGGGTCATCAAATTCTATTTCGCTGGAGAATGAAGAAGGTTTAGAAACCCTAGTCTTCACAGTCAGTCTCGAAAACTTTTCGTCTAGGTCCGCGAAGTGAACTTGTCGGGATTTTCGTGGAGCGCAATGGTTGCAGAGAAGAGGCGATCCAGAAACTTGAGAAATGCGCCGTGGAACAATAGTAGGCGAATCGGACGGCGATGATGCACCAATGGCTTGCTGTTCCTCCCCTCGTCCCATTCCTCGCTCAGATGGCGCGTTGTTGTTGTCGTCGTCGTCGTCATCGTCATCGTCACGCTCTCGTAAGTCGAATTTAAAATGCTTCGGTGCGGGAAGAGATTTTGCGGAGCGAAGTGATGAGGTTGGAAGCTTGCATGAACAAACGGCGCATCGACGATCGGCAGGGGTTGATGACGACGGGAGAGAGCTGTTCGCTGATGGTTGTGAAGGGCTGTCAGAAGGTGTTTCTGGATCGATATAGAGGCTCGTCGGAGGACCATCCCCAGAAGAATTTCCCATCGTCCTCGTTTCTGAAGACCTATCCGTTTTGCTCCAGTCACCAATAAAATCTCCTGCTTATCGCGGCGCAAGCTTCAACTCCAGCATGTGATACGTTGCTTCAGCTGCGGTAACGAGTGGGTCAACACAAGCCGGAGTACTCGTCGTGACGCGACGGAGTTGTGGACGGAGCTATACTAGCACACCATGCCGACTCTAAGAATGACGGAGGCCTCGCCTTGGTCGTTTTCCTACGAAATGCGACGAGAAATTGCAGTTTAGTTGAGACAAAAGGGATAACCGAAGCAGCAAGAACTGGCTCTCTTCCTTATCGTGGGAAGGGAATAGGGAAGGAAAACGAAAGCTGGAAAAGATGGGGGATGAACGTGAGGGGGAACTTGGAGGGTGAAGTTGGAGTTTATGGGGGGAGAGGAGGTTAATTGGGGGGTGTGAAAGGGGGGAGGAACACAACAGTAGCTCGGAGAGGGGGAAAACAGTTCAGTATCTTGGGGGAAATATGCTGGTGTGGAGTTGGTGATTCCAAGAGGTGAGGTTGATGTCCTTGGTCATAATTCATGATTCATCCAGCGAAGTCAGGCATTAGATTGTAACATGTTTTCGTGAACTGTCGCATGCAGGTAGATCCCTCCAGTTGGCTCTTCGTTTGGGACAATATGCTCATGCAAGGCTCTCTCCGGCCGCCGCCTGCTGAAGCCCATGCGGCTGGCGTAAAATTCAGAGACAACAACCAGGAAAATTTCTATAGAGGCAGGGGTGGATTAAAATCAAGCATACATTATAGGGTGTTCTTACCGCAAATGATACCAAACAATGTCTGTAGCCCTCATTCACAACTGTCCTTTACACGTCTGAACATCTCTGTTCAGAACTCAGTTAAACGTTTTTTAAATACGAAAAGTGCTGCTCGAATTCGGCTCAATTTGAAAACCAGTGACAGCATTGCTGAGTGAATGCCACTTGATCTTCAAGGATGCGAGATGTACGGTCAAAGTACACCAAAACAACCGAACTGGATTGAACCGCCAAGGAGAACCTACCTAGCTGGGTTAGCAAACAAATACCGCCAAGGTATTTGCAGAACTATCAGGGTCAAAACACCTTGTGCGTCGCTACAAGGCGTTTTCCCGGGTTTCGAAACTCCCAGAAATGCCGAAAGCGTGCTGCCGTGGCAACACGTCATTGCTCCTCCTTTGTTGGTTGTCAATGGAGTACTGTACGGCAGCGTGGCGCGCGAGACCCAGCAAGCAGCATTTACGGAATCTGTTAGACCAATCAAATTGGAGTCTTATTGCGCCACCACCACTTCCTTCCTCTGCATCATCCATCCTGTTTGCGCGCACTTTTTCCTAGCACGTTCCACTAGCTGCGGGCAGTCCTGGCCTCCTCACGCCAGCACCTCCTTCCCTCACCCCCACCCACTTTCTGATCCTTCCCCCTCACCCCCACAAGTCCGCGAACACCAGTGATTTCCCCCTTTCTCTCCCTTTCACTTCACCGATTCCGCCAGCACCTTCCTTCCCCTTATACTCTCCCCAGCCCCTCTCCTCCACCACCCCTCTCCCTCCCCTTACCCTACTCCCCTCCAGCCTCCGCCTCACCCCAGCATCTGTGCTACACTCTCGCACTCCACGGGTGCTAGGAAGGAAACCCACTTCACCACCAGCCTGCTAATTTCCCTCTGCACACGAAACCCTACTCCCAGAATGGCAGCCAATCAGCAACTTACACATGATGTGCTGCCCAAGTCGTGAAGTATTCCAATGCATTTGTAGGGTTTACTAATTTTAGTGACAAAGAGAAGCTTCAGGAGGATTTCCAGGTGTCCACTGAGTTATAGGTGTTATCAATGGCTTCTTCGTTAGAGAGACAGAAAGGAAAAGGCAAGGCGATTTCAGAAGATGGCACAACGTCGTCAGCTCCTAGCAGGAAACGAGTGCGGTTCGCAGGCGCGGGAGCAGAGCCATCAGTAGATGATTCATTTGCTCCAGGGTCAGGCCTTTCTTTCACCTCCGGTCGAGTTTATTCATTGGCAAACCGAGGTCGTGTGCACGCTGGCGCACCTACTAGTTCTGGGAAAATCGCAGCGTCGGCTTTTTCTAACCATGTTAGCGGTGTAGGGGATGCTGCTAATAAGCCTGACGGGGTGGGAAAAGGCTTGTCGGAAGACAGTACTTCGGATAAGCAGATGTCTTCGGCTGACCTTTCAGGACGGATCACGATATTTGACCACATTCCGTCTGCCATGCCGACAGACGCGTCTACTCCTGACTTCAAAAACTGCCAAGCTGCCGTACCAGCATCTGATCACGAGCGAGGCTCCCCTTCGCAATCTCTTGACGATTCGGACCCTCCTTCATCTGTATCTTACGAAGCGTCTGTTTCTGCAAATCAGGACTCATCTGATGTGAGCCTCGCGACGCAGCTGCCGAATGATCTGACGGACCACAGATGGGGCCAGGACAACGCAACTTGTGCCAGCAGCGCAAACGACGGAATAATCAGTCCTGACAATGGAGATAGCAGAGGAGGTGATGGTGATGGGAAGCCGCATGAGGTGCGGAGTGTGTCTATGAATGAGAGCTTGATGCAGCAGATGGAGGATTTGATATCCATGGTGCCCAGGCTGCAACTGGAAAGGAGTCGGAGCGAGATGGAGATTATTATGAAGCGGAAACATGTACTAGGTTCGTTCTTAGGTACGCCTAAGTCGGGCAAGTCACCGCAGATTATTCTTCCCAGGACTCGAAGTTTCTAGATCCCGCATCAGCATGCACTGCCTTTTAACAGGTGCGAACTAGGATTTTGATGCAGCCTCTACACAAATGTATTCCTTTTGTACCCTTGTGGTTGAGGCCCATTGGGTTCCAGAGTTTGTGTTTAGTTTGGTAATGCCAGTGCTCGGGAGCTGAAGTAGCTAACTAACAGCTTCTATCTACTAGGGCATCATTATTTGGCTGAAGAGGACAAGGGCTGTTTGTTATTGGCACTTCTGCTGCACATAGCTAGCATCTAGTGCTGAACATCTGTTTTAGGATATGGATGTCTAGATTGCATTATGCCCAGCCAGCAATCAGTTGGCGTAATTTTTATATATGGTGGTGGCGGTGTGGGCTTGTGAAAGCAGTTATAACTGGAAGAGGTTGCTCTACAAATCCAGTTATGTTTTGGTTGTTTGCTTCCTCCAATACCGTAGTAGAAGCAACCTACTGTTAAGTGTATGGCTGCTTTCGTTGAGCTGCCACACCACTTGCGCCGTGGAAATGTTTTCTGGATAAAAAAGGTGCGAGCGAACGAAACGTTTCGACGATATACACTCTCCATCCACGGGCCACGACCCGTCGATTCCCGTTAGCCTACATCACAGCTTCATTCTGCTACACCTCCGTTATATGCCCTAACAGAAAGCTTCGCCGCCAATTCGACGACAGCTTGGACAACACAACAAGGGCAGCAGCAACACATGTGCACTGTGTGTGCTCCACAATGCCAGCACAGCAAAATCAATGCGTGCTTGTGGGGGAAGCGAGAGCGCGGCGCTCAGGCGCAGATTTACAGACGGGCATGCGGGAACCACGCAAGACCACGCTCAGGCTGACTTGGAACCGCGCGGAACGGGGGAAAGGAAGAAATGATGAGCAGACGCGAGTAACATAATCGTCTTCCTATGTTCGCTTGCTCGGGTATTTGTTTTCGTGAATTCGTGACGTAGTGTACACGTTTCGCACACCTTCGCAGGCCAATCTGTCATTCCACCAGAATAAATTTCAACAGAAATGTGACAGGAACTGTTGAGCAGAACTTGCCTCTTGACTTTGTGGGAAACCATAGCTTTTCCTACATTCTGTGGAAAAAAAGAAAAGAAATTAGCAGCGTCAGTCGCGCTCTCTGCTAGTGCCAAAAAACAGTGAGCATGAAATCAACCGAGATGGCAGCGGGAGCACCGGGCATTGCGGGGATTTCTAATGCTGCATCAGAAGTTGTAACTGTCATCTCAGCGAACACGGGTGATATTTCAATCACCACGGATAGTCCACCTGCGCCTTCGCTCGCGCACGCATCCGCCGTTACTATTGCCATTCCTCCCCCTAATATCACGTCACGTACCGTCACGAACCCGCTCGCTGCCGCGATGCCGGCGCGCAGCGTGACCCAATCCACGTCACCGGAGCGCAAGCACCAGCGCGCCAGCTCCGTCCGTTTCGCCGGAGACGATGCCGTGGAGCCAGGCGGAAGCGGAGATGGCGGCGGGGGCGGGGGAAGCGGAGGCGGAGGCGGCGGAGGAGGAGGAGGAGGAAGAGACGGCGGGTCGACGCGGGTTGGCGATTTATTGTCGGCGGATGACGCATCGTCTGAGGGGATATCGCTCGAGTCGTCGAGCCGCGCGGGGAGCCAGCGGGAGCGCGAGGAGTGGCAGCTGGACTACAGCCAGTTCGAGGCGGCGCGGCGCGACCTGAACGACAGCCATGGCCGTCTGCGAATACTCAAGCGGCGTGAGTTGCGCTGCTGCGAGCTAAGGCTTGCCCTCTGAGGTCCGACGAACCCCCCTCTTTTTTGTTGTTTTTGTTGTTGTTTTTTTTTTTTTTTTCTTGAACGCTTCAAATGTGATGCACACCCTTTTTTAGGCGCCTTCAAGCGCAGCATGTTTTCTAAAAGCGCCGCGGCATGTTACTCAAATCTCATCCATCGCCTGCTTCGCCGCATCATCATCAGGCCCATTCTCACATCTTCTTCCTCCCCACGTCCGCGCCACATCCGCTTCCTCTCCCCGCGCCCCGGTTTTCCCCCATTCACGTTTTTCGCGCACGCGTGCTAAAATCACATCCTCTTCCTCTTTCCCCGCTCCCGTTTCCCCGATTCTCGTTTTTCCGCCCACTCGCGCTGCAGTGGGGGGGCGGAACCCCGTTGACGGATACTACCGGCAGCAGAACGAGATGATTGACGGATTCAGTGAGATGGACGCGCTCAGTGAGCAGCTGCTGCCGCCCACTCCCAGCGTACGTTACACCTGCTGCGAGCGCCTTGCACCGCTTTGCACCGTCATGCTGTGTCCTCAAAGAAGAGAGATTTTTATGAGATGATGTTTTCCGTGTTATTTAATATTATCAAATTACAACCATCTCATGTACGCCTCACCTGGTTTCTCCGTATTTGTGCTTGTGCTTGCTCGAATCACCGTGATTGTTTGTTTGTGTGTTGTCCCCATTGACAGGAGGTGAGGGAGGCACGAAGACTCCACCGAAGCGAGTTCATGGCCGTGCAGGTGGGTTAGGTTCGGCTGGGTTTGGTTGGGTTGGGCTCGGTTGGGGTGGTTCGCTTGTTAGTTAGTGCAGCCACTTTGGCTGTATATGTCGCTTTTGAGAATTCACCGTATGACTAACAAATTCTCGGTATCTCCACCGACACGACGCGATGACCAAGTTCATCCCGTCGGTGGTGAGCGGCAGTCTCGCCATCCTCGCATCGACGCTCCACTCGCTTCTGGGCCTGCTGTGTTGCGGGGCTTGCTGTGGGGTCACACTCCTCACACTCCTCCCCGCATTATCTCTCCCCAATTAATCCCCTGCTTTCCGTCACCCCATGCAGGTATCCAACGGCGCCAACGTGTGTCTCTTCATCGTGAAGATCATCGCATCAATCGTCAGCGGCAGCCTCGCCATCCTGGCTTCCACGCTCAACTCGCTGCTGGACCTGCTGTGCTGCTGGCTAACCACATACAACTTCTCTCCCCAATCAACCCCTGCTACCCCCCACCACCCCCCCTCCCCCCCATCCCACCCCCACTTCATCCCCCCCGCAGATATCCAACGGTGCCAATGTCTGTCTCTTCATAGTCAAGATCATTGCTTCAATCGTCAGCGGCAGCCTCGCTATTCTGGCATCGACTCTTGACTCACTGTTGGACCTGCTGTGTGGGTTCATCCTCTGGTACACGGCTCGCACCATGCGCTGCACCAACCCCTACAAGTACCCCATCGGGAAGCGCCGCATGCAGCCCCTGGTGAGTGTTCCATCAGCACCACACGGAACCACACTGGACCGCCTTGCATTGCGCTTGAGTGCAGTGCACTGTGCAGCACCGCTGCAACCCGTACGCAACTATCCCAAAACGAAGCGGCGGGTGCAGCTGCTGGTGAGGCGTGTGCAGCGCCTGTTGAGTGTGGATATAGAGTGATGGATACTAACTTGTACACGCTAACGCGTGCAACTGTATTGCTGCCATCATCCATCCATCCCTTTTTCCCCCTGCCCCATTCCAATCCCCTGCCCAATCCCACCCTCCCCCCCTTCCCACCCTTAGGGCATCATAGTGTTTGCGTGCATCATGGCACCCCTTGGCTTCCAGATTCTTCTAGAATGAGTGCGCAAGCTCGGCCTATCCACTCGTCAATTTCCTCCACTCCCTGTACCCATGCCGCCATGCACTCAAATTTTTTATGCGCCTCAAAAACCTTCCACTCGTCCATTTCCTCCACTCCCGGTAACCACGCTGCCATGCGCCCATCCCTCCCTCCTCTTCCCACACCCTACCCCCACACCAACAGGGCATCATAGTGTTTGCGTGCATCATGGCGTCCCTCGGCTTCCAGATTCTTCTAGAAGGAGTGCGCAAGCTCACAGACTCGGTGAGTTGCAGGCTCGGTGGGTTGCAGGTTCGGTGGGTTGCAGGTTCGGTGGATCGCAGGCTTGGTGGGTCACAAGCTCTAGAATTGATAGGCTAGGTGAGGCTGAGTGAGTGGGCATGTGCATGTGTGCATGCGCATGTGTTTTGTAGGCTACGTGCATGTGATTTGTAGGCTACGTGCATGTGATTTATAGGCTACGTGCATGTGATTTGTAGGCTACGTGCATGTGATTTATAGGCTACGTGCATGTGATTTATAGGCTACGTGCTTGTGATTTGTAGGCTACGTGCATGTGATTTGTAGGCTACGTGCATGTGATTTATAGGCTACGTGCATGTGATTTATAGGCTACGTGCATGTGATTTGTAGGCTACGTGCATGTGATTTATAGGCTACGTGCTTGTGATTTATAGGCTACGTGCTTGTGGCTCACATAGGTGCGGCATGTATGCTGGCATCATTTGGGCATGATGGGGCGTATTAGGCCGCTCTGCAGTGCATACGCCATGTCTCTTCCTGCCGCACCCCTCCCACCCCCCCATCAGAGCCACTCAGCAGGCCTAAGGGAGCAGTGGGGCGTGTATGTGGGCATCATGGGGCTTTCAGATTTGCCGCATGTCCCATGTCTCTTCCCGCTGCATACCCCCCATTCCCCCCATCAGAGCCACTCAGCAGGCCTGGGGGAGAAGTGGGGCGTGTATGTGGGCATCATGGGACTCATCCTCTTCCTCTACTGCCGCCTCTCTGCCCCTGCTTGCTGCCTGCCCCGTGCCCCTTTCCCCCAACAACCCCCCCACTTCCCATCAGAGCCACTCAGCAGGCCTGGGCGAGAAGTGGGGAGTGTATGTGGGCATCATGGGGCTCGTCATTCTCACCAAGTTCATTCTCTTCCTCTACTGCCGCCTCTTCTCAGACGACATCGTGCAGGCATATGCGCTTGTGAGCTCCATGTTCCACCCCATGTGTTGTTTTAGGCGCCCAAAAAAAAAAAAAGATGCTTTTATTTTTCCAAACAATGCTCTCTTGAGTTCCATATTCCACTCCTTGTGCTCTTGCTTTTCTCATAGAACGATTCTTTCTCACGTAATTCTAGAGGCCTCTGCTCTTCGTAGCTACACTTGCTCGTCCTCATGATGGCCATCCATATCAAGTCGTGCCTTTCTTGTGCCCTGATCCTTGTGCTTCTTTTCCACTCTCCATGCATCCACCCACCAGGATCACATGATGGATGTGGTAACCAACACCGTGGGCCTCGCAGCAGCAGCAGCAGAGGTGCATTGCCTCTTATCTTACCACACACTTCCCCCATCCCCCACCCCACACCCGACCCCACACCCCACCCCAACCACCCACCAGGATCACATGATGGATGTGGTAACCAACACCGTGGGCCTCGCAGCAGCAGCAGCAGAGGTGCATTGCCTCTTATCTTACCACACACTTCCCCCATCCCCCACCCCACACCCGACCCCACACCCCACCCCACCCACCCACCAGGATCACATGATGGATGTGGTAACCAACACCGTGGGCCTCGCAGCAGCAGTGCTGGCGGGGGAGTATGCCTGGTGGATCGACCCTGTCGGTGCCATCTTCGTACGTCCCTCCTGCTCCCTTACCTCTCCGCTGCTGAATTCTCTCTCTTTGAAGCGCCTCACAAGTGAGCCTTGCATGCAGCAGCAGTGCAGTGCTGGCACTGGCAGGGAAGTATGCCTGGTGGATCGACTCGACCCCTTCGGTGCCATCTTCGTACGTCGCCTCTCCCCTCTACTCCCTTCTCCCTCTTATTCCTTTCATTGGGGCGCCTCAAAAGTGGCCCTCGCAGCAGCAGTGCTGGCACTGGCAGGGAAATATGCCTGGTGGATCGACTCGACCCCTTCCGTGCCATCTTCGTACGTCCCTCCCACCACCACCGTCCTCCACTCTTCGTACGCTCCTTGACTGTCGAGTCAGCTTAAAAGCCAGCTCACCACCCTTCCCCCCTGCCACCCTTTCCCCCCATCACACCTCTCTTCCCTTATCCCCAATGCAGCTCGCCCTGTACACCATGTTCAATTGGGGCAACACCGTGCGTGAGAACGTGCGCTCCTTGACTGCTGAGTCAGCTCAAAAACCAGCTCACCACCCTTCCCCCCCCACCTCCTCTTCTCCCAACGCAGCTCGCCCTGTACACCATGTTCAATTGGGGCAACACCGTGCTCGAGAACGTCCGCTCCTTGACAGGACGAACGGCGCCGCCCGCCTTCCTGCAGAAGCTGACGTATTTGTGCTGGAACCACCACCGGGCGATCCTGGCCATTGACACCGTGCGCGCGTATACTTTTGGCGCGTCCTACTTCACTGAAGTGGATGTCGTGTTGCCTGAAGACATGCCGCTTAAGGTACGCCGCGCTGTGCATCGCTTATGAGAAATTTCAACAATGGTACGAGCTGATCCTGGCCATTGATACCGTGCGCGCGTACACGTTCGGCGCGTCCTACTTCACTGAAGTGGATGTCGTGTTGCCTGAAGACGTGCCACTGAAGGTACACACTGTGAATGAACTAACGTGCCGCTGAAGGTAGGCACTGCGGGGCAGGTCACTTGTGAGGATTCTTAACAGTCACACAAGCAGATCCTGGCCATTGATACCTGCGCGCGTACACGTTTGGAGCATCTTACTTCACAGAAGTGGATGTTGTTCTGCCTGAAGCCATGCCACTCAAGGTAACACCACTGATAGTATTTTGTATTTCTGCTGAAGGTACTGCTGTGAATGTTTCACACCACTCATTCTTCCCGGCACTCTTCATGCGGTTTATATCCTGGATGATGATGCCGATACGCATGACACATTCACGATTAAACCTCCGGATTTATTTCCTTGCAACATTTGATTTGACTCACGTTGGTTTAAATGTTTCAGGAGGCACATGATATTGGCGAGGCGCTTCAGAACAAGCTGGAGAGGCTGCCCGAGATAGAGAGAGCGTTTGTTCACCTGGACTACGAGGTGTCTCATCGACCCGAACATCACCACCATCTCTCCACGTTCAATGTCGGCAATGGAGTGTCTCCCAGTAGCTTTCCTAACGACCCAAGTTCTCCATGACCAGGTCGGTTAGTCTTCGCCCCTCTATACCAGTATAATTTGTTATAGATTGCGGCAAAGCCGTACTCCTTACATTCAGACATGTTTTGCTCGGTTTGTGCATTTTCCTGTACATGTATTATTGATTGAATGGCGTGGGCAGCAAAACGTGGGACATGTAACTGTATCATGTTTAACAAATTAAGATGTATATGGATCCTTTGTTTTCCAAACGGGGTGGAATAGCGGAGATATGCGTTCGGCAACTTCAAGATCTCCCCCTTCCTCCTTGCCTTCAGCCCTTCGTTCCCCCTTCTTCCCCCTCTCGAAAGGAAGCCAATTTGAGGCATTTCAGTTCAGCCCAGGCATTTTACCAGAGATCCCCGTGAATAGTTACGTGTCAGTATCATCAGTCGCCATGGCGTCCCTAGACCCGTTTTTCCATCTGACCAGCCTTCCCTACGCCATTCTTCGCCCGCCGAAGCTCCGCCTAAGGCTCCCAACTTTCTCCTTCCCGGATCCTATGGTCGTCTACTGCTTCGTAATCTTCAGCTATTTCCTCGTCGTTTCCGGAATCGTCTTCGATATGATTGTCGAGCCTCCCGGCATCGGCGGCCATCAGGACGAAGCCACGGGAAAATTCGTTCCCGAGGTCATAATGGCGGGAAGACTGAACCAGCAGTACATTATCGAAGGCCTTTCGTCCGGATTTATGCTCGTGATGGGAGGCCTTGGGATTGTCCTGATCGACTGGGCTTGCGACAAGCTGCAGACGAAGAACATGCGGCTGGTGTATCTGGGAACTGGGCTGTCCATGGTGGTTATCAGCTACACCATGAGCATGGTGTTCCTGCGGATCAAGATGCCTGGATATCTCCACTAGATCTTGCACTCTCTGAAAATTGGATATGGGGTACTATTTCTGTTCCTACTGGTGACTGAAGCAGCACATAGACAAGTGGGTGCTTCCTATTTTAGCTAATGCATTTACATTGAGCCCTCTGAGTCGCGACTGACCATTCTGCACATTGCAGGAACTCCTGCAATGTTATTAGCAGGGCATTTTTCATCAGCAGAAATTTTAAAACCATGTGATGTGACACACATCAAGGAAATCCTTCAACTGTTACAGAATGGAAGTGCAGAGTGTCAGCTGCGTTGCGTTGACAGCATGTCAAGTCAGCCATCATCACTACAGGGCGAGAGACAACCTAAATACATGAAGATCCGTCATCATGACAAAGCTATTAACATGCATTGTAAGGACTGGCAGCAAACTCTTCCAAAAAGCACTATGGAGAAGCCATTCCTTGCTCAGATATCATAGGTATCTTGTCAACCATTACCGTACCAAGATTCAAGATGCTGTCAGCCAACCATTGAGGTCCGGAAGTCGATTCCGATCCGACCCTGCATCCCTGCCTCCTGTACTACGAGGCGCCACATGGAATCCATTCACTGCACGCTCAGCAGCATGCTCCGATACAGTAGCCTCTGGTTCTGACCTCAGTCCAACCCCCTGGTTCTCTACTGCATTGCCACCATTTCCATAAAAACCGTTCCCACCAACGAACGCACTCCCTTTGTTAGGACCGATAACAACAGCTTCATGAGGCAAACTTCCCCCATGGCGCATGTTGCCTCCGCCAGGGAAGTTACCCCCACCGCAAGGAGTGCTTGCTCCCAGCGGAGTGTTGCTTCCACTGTCTGTTTCTGAGAGCTCGCAAGCTGGCATTTCCAAATCCAGCAGTACTCTCCGCTTCGGTGCCATGCTGGCACCAGATGCTGCATTGGCCATTGCTGAGTTGGCCAGAGGTAGCGCAGCGTTGGTATGTGACGAGTTCGGCCATGCTGGGTTGTTTGAAGACTTCACAGCGTTTTGTGCTGTTTCCATCACCCCATTCCTGTGACCAGATGTGGGATGCCAAGTGCCATTGGTGCCATTAGTAGCAGTGGTAGCGGCAGCGCCAGCACCACCACCAGCAGCAGGGATTTCACCAGCACCGTTCTGAGAGGCTCTCTCTGCTGCTGGCCCGACCATCTCCTTCCGACCATTCGCCTCGCAATGCCTTCTCAACACACTCAGCACAGTACCATTCAGCCTGCCTGGAATATGCAGGCCCTGACCTGAACCACTGGCCGCCTTCTCCGCCTCCTTACCCTTAGACGCGTCCACTGCTGATCCAAGGATCTGCGGGGTCCCATTAGGATCCCGCTTCCTCTTTTCTGCCTCAAGCACCACATGACTCAATTGCTGCATCCCACCCAAAGCTTGGCTGGATCTATGCGCCTCTTGCTGCTGTTGCTGGTGCTGCTGCTGCTGCTGCTGATGCTGCTGCTGCTGGAAGTGCTGCCGCCCATGCCATGGCTGCCGTGGTTGCTGCAGCTGCTGCTGCCAGGGCTGCGGGAGCTGCTGCTGCTGCTGCAGGCCGTTAGGCCCTGAGTTGAAAGGAGGCATGGCGGCAGCAGCAGCGGGCAGCGTGGCACCATTCGACGGGAGAGTCACAGGTCGTGGGAGCTTAAACACCTCCCATGAGAATCCAGACGCTGCGACGTTGTGTGTTAAGGACTGGTAGTCCTTGCTCTGAGACGCTACCTTCGCCCCACCTGATTCGCCCCTGACTGCCACGCCCACCGCTGCTCCTTGCTGCCCTGGTGGAGGACCCAAGGGAGCAGCAGCAGCACCGTCATCGTTTCTGGGATTCTCAGCACCATGTGCAGCTGCTTCAGCAGGCGTTGCACCCAAGGAGGAAGCGTCTGCTTCATCATCGCACATCTCGTTCAGATCCATAAGCGCTGCCTTGGGAACAGCAGCAGTACCTGCCGCAGCAGCAGGAGAAGAAGCAGCAGCGCCAGCAGCAGCAGTAGAAGCAGCAGAAGCAGCAGGAGGAGACACAGCTACAGGAGCGGCAGCAGGAGCTGCAGCTGGAGAAGCACCCAAGAAATTGAGACGCTCAGAATGAGCCGCAGGCTGAAGCTTCTGCTGCTCCTGTTTGCTCCGCAGCAGCGCTTCTTGCTCATTCCTCCTCTGCTCTCTCCGCACCTTCCTTGCGTCACGCTTCTCCGCCCTTTCTCTCCTGTCATGCTCCTTCTTCGCCCGCCGTTCAAGCCTCTCCTGCTTTCGCACTCGCTTCGCTTCCTTTCTTGCCACCCTCTCAGCCTTTCGCCTCTCCCTCTCCTCCCTCTCCTGCCTCTTCCTCTCCACCTTCTGCCTTTCCTCCTCAGCCCGTGCTTGCCATTTCAGAGCCACCTGCAGATTCACCCTCACAGCGTCTCTCACCGCCTCACCCACTCCCACCACCTCACCAACACCGAACCCACACTCCTCTCCCACGTCACCCCGCCCCTCCATCACCCCTCCACCCTCCCCCACCACCTCGCCTCTCTCCACACCTTTCTGTACTCCTCCAAGAGCCTCACTTGCTCGCTGAAACGCGTCTACAGCGTCGTTCCAGCGGCCAGCGGCGGCAGAGAGCAGGGCGAAGCTGCAGAGGGAGGGGCCGTGCGCGGGAGCGAGGAGGAGGGCGTTGTGTGCAGCCGAGAGGGCGGCAGAGAGACGGCCCTGGGCTCGCAGAAGCAGAGAGAGATTGCACCAGGTCACATGGGGAGCAGACGCAAGAGGAGGAGGTGGAGATGGAGGAGGAGGAGAAGCAGATGGGTCGGTGGAGTGGTGAGGAGGCAGCGATGATGGGCATTGCAGTGCGCGGGTATACGCTGCTTCGGATTCGTCAAGACGGCCAGAAAGCTGTAGGCAGAGGCCTGCATACAAAACAGGGGAAGTGGCAATCCAGACACAACACCACACAGATAGTTGAACATAAAAACTATAGAGAGGTGCATGGTGCTCGAGAATGGTGCATGGTGCTCGAGTCAATGTGATGGTACTCTGTAGGATGGATACGTGCATGGTGCCAGCCAAGAGGTTAGATGGAGGCGGATGAGCGAGTGAAGCGGAGCAGGGAGGTTTGAACCTCCAGTTTGGGACGTCTCAAAACTTGAAACAGAGGGTTATGAATGTGGCACAAAGTTGGGCACAGCTGGTGTTGCAAGTCCGGCTCACCGAGGGAAGTCCACGTGGCTGCGGATTGCTGGTGGCGTGAGAGGGCTCTGAGGAAGTGCGAGCGAGCTGCTGAAAAGTGCCCCGTGGAAGATAGCTCAGCATCTCCCATCCCTGCAGCAGCACCGCCCATTGCGGTTCCATCTCCCATGTGTGCAGCATCTCTCATCGCGGAAGCACCTCCCATGTCCGAACCAAGTGAGTGAATGGCAGAGTGCAGTGCATGCACGCCCAGCTGATGAGCTCCGGTTCCCAGCCCTTCTGCCGCCATCAGAGACTGAAAGCAAAAGGGCGGAGAGAAGGGGGAAGAGGAAAGAGGAGTATAAGGGGTGAGGCCATCAGGACAGCGTAAGAAGTTGTGAAGAACCGCGTGACAAGGAGGCAGGGGAGGAAAGAACGGAGGAGAGGACGAAATGGGGGAAGCTAAGGCCTTTCAGCTGCAGCAATACAGGTTCTCATGCACCATCTGAGCCAACCCTGCAGCCGCTCTATACAGCCCGTCACACTCTCACCTGTCTCTTCCATGCTGCCAGCTTCAGCTCCTCTGCCTGCACCACCGCACATGCCAGCTCCTCATTCACCTCCTGCCCACTCCCGCTTCCACCCGCCTCCTCCTCTTCTTTGCACCTCCCCTCCTCGTGCTCCTCCCCAGTTCCTCCCTCACCCCTTGCTGCTGCACCGAGCATCGCTAACAACCCCTTCCCTCTCCCCTCGGCCTCAAGCTCCCCCTCTTCCCTCATCCCATCCTCCTCTGCCTGTACACTCCCTTCTCCAGCACACCCCGTTACAGTCACGGCCGCCTCCTCTTTCACCACAAACGCCCCCGTTTTAGTCACAATCTCCTGGAGCGCTCTCCGTTCAAGGGTTGCGTGTGCATGCGCCACTGCGTCCCATGCCATCCACTCGGGCACATGGCCCAGCATGCACTTGCGATTTCCACCATGCCCACCACCAACAGCACCAAACGCACCAGCACCAGCACCATAAGTACCACCACCAGCGGCAGCAGCAGCAGCACCAGTTCCAAAAATGATGGCAGAAGCACCATCACGTGAAACATATGGTATGTCATTCGACCCATGAGCTAGCCCCGGCAGTCCCGCCGCGTCTGCCATCTCTGCAACGCCGCAGCCCATGTGCTGGGAGGCGAGGGCCAGAGGCATAGGGGCAGCAGCAGCAGTGGCAATGCGGTGGGCTGCTGCTGCGAAGCGTAAAGGAGCACTGGATGGCTGCAATTTCAGGGCCTGCATTGAACCAACGAGGCCAGGTTTAGTATCAAAACAACGAGCCCTCAGAGGTTGCCAAAAATAGAATAATAAAAAACAGAAGGGAAAGAGACAAGGTATGCCGAGGGTTACCTGGGACATGCATTTCGCAGCCTGCTTCCAGCTGCCTGTGCGGGTGGCGGCATGGGCAAGGTTGCACCAGAGGAAGGCACAACTCGGTAGCAGCTGCACTGCTGCTGTCGCACACTGCTGCGCTGACACCCCTGCCAAATCCCCTGCAGCCGCTGATACTGCTGCAGTTCCATCTCCTCCCTCTATGCTTGCATCTGCTCCTGCTGTGCCCGTTGCTGCTGGAGCCAACTCTGCTCCTTCTGTCTTCGTCGCATCAACCACAGCACCAACAAACGGAGCTCTCTCCTTCTCTTCGTCTTGCCGCTGCTGCGATTGCTCCTGCTGCTGCATATCCTGTTGCTGCTCCAGTTTCTGCTCCTGCTGCAGCTTTTTCTGATGCATGTGGTCAAGTCTACTGCCAGCTCTCCTGTCAAGTCTCCTGCCATGGCTCCGCTGTGTGGCAAGAAGCAGGGCGGAGTAGGAGCAGAGAGCAGCCGGGTGCTGCGGTTCTCTCTGCAGCGCCGCTTTCAGGCATGCTGCAGCCTCCGCGTACCTTCCCCTGTAACAACGATCAAAGGAAAAGGGAACGCGAGCAGGTGAGAGGAGGACAGGACAGAAGCAGCTTCATGCCCCACATGCTGCAGGGCGGCACAAAGGTACACGGAAACACTTACACATGCAGCAGGGCGGCACAAAGGTACACGGAAACACTTACACATGCAGCAGGGCGGCTCCCAGATTAGCGAGGGTGTCCGTGTCGACGGGAGTGGTAGGGCTTGCCGTGCTGGCAGTGCTGCCCGCACCATCACCGCTTGTGCCGGTTCTAATGCTTGCCAACTGTTGTGACAGGACTTCAAGGGCTTTCTGCAATGGATGGATGGACCGAGCAGTGGTGATGGTGGTGTGGCCCGCAGGGAAAGGGGAGAAGCGGGGCAGAGCGAGGGGATGCAGAGACAGGACGGTTAAGGAGGGGATGCAGAGACAGGACGGTTAAGGAGGGGATGCAGAGACAGGACGGTCAAGGAGGGGATGCAGAGACAGGACGGTTAAGGAGGGGATGCAGAGACAGGACGGTTAAGGAGGGGATGCAGAGACAGGACGGTTAAGGAGGGGATGCAGAGACAGGACGGTTAAGGAGGGGATGCAGAGACAGGACGGTTAAGGAGGGGATGCAGAGACAGGACGGTTAAGGAGGGGATGCAGAGACAGGACGGTTAAGGAGGGGATGCAGAGACAGGACGGTTAAGGAGGGGATGCAGAGACAGGACGGTTAAGGAGGGGATGCAGAGACAGGACGGTTAAGAATCCACAGCGTAAAAGGGGTGATTGATGTTTGAGCGCCTGACAACGCGTTCCGTGATGTGGTGAAAAGTCCCAAGCGAAAGACAGAGATTGAGACGAACGAGCTTAGAAAGACAGAGCGAAACGAACAGCTTCTATGCACACTGTGCGTATACCTCTGTTCGCCCGTACACCAGGAGCATGACCGCGAGGTGGTTGGTGGTACCCATCCCTCCCCCTTCCGCTGCTTTCTTCCGAGCTCCACTCGCATCCGGCAGAACCCCAGTGCCCTCAAGGTCATCAGGGGTAAGCACAGCACCCTCTCCTCCCCCAGGGGCTGCCCCCACTTGCTGTTCCTCCATGTGGTTACCAGCGGTACCAGCACCAGCAGCACCATCATCACCAGCAGCAGAGAAAGCACCACTGCAGTTGCTCCCATCAATCGCAGCACTGGCCCCGCCAGAAGGAGAAGCAGCAGCAGCAGCAGCAGCAGCGGTGACAGAAGCAGGTGGTACTCCCAGTGACTGCTCTGCAACGTCCCTTGCTTCAATAGCAGTGGCACTCGGAGGATCAACAGTGGCACCCTGGTCACCAGCAGCAGTATCAGCAGCCGTTGCAGCATCAGCAGCGGCACCAGTAGCAGCAGCAGAGCGATCGTTTGCAGCCGCCAAAGTCAAATGGCGAATCACATTGCGTATCACCACGTCTTCCTCCTGCTCCTTCTCCTCCTCCTCATCCCCTTCCGCCTCCTCCTCCTCAACCGCCTCACTCCTTTCCTCTTCCATCATTGGCACCCTTTCTTCCCCCACATTCCCCTCTGCCACAAACGCCCCTCCCCAACCAACCCCACCTGGACCCTCACATGGACCTTCAAACACATTTCCACCGCACTCCATCTCCATCCGCACCTCTCCACCCATCTGCACATCAGCACCTTCACCATCTCCATCCCCTTCCTCTTCTTGCTTGGGAAAAACGCTCCGCCTCCGCTTCCTCTTCCCCTCCCCTTCCCCTTCACCTTGCCCCTCCCCTTCCAGCTTCAAATTCCGTTCACCCTCCCCCTCACCCTCACCTTCAACCCCTCCGTCCTGTTCCGCACTGTCTTGACGCAACTTGCACGCCTCCTCCTGCCTCAGCCTCTCCTCCCTCCTCAGCTCTAGGTCAGCCACAGCAGCGAACATGTCCAGAGCACTGCACACCCGCTTCGCCTCCCTCCCCTCCACTTCCTCCACCTCCAACCCAGCCAGTCCAAGTAGCCCATCCAACCCATTCATATCGGCCTCTACCTCTCCCTCCCCCTCTAACTTCCTCTTCCCACTGATACCAACCCCCTGGTCCATGTCAGACACGCTCCAATCCTCTCCATGCTTTTCTGCGTGGCAACTCAACCCCAATCCTTCCTTCTCCCTCGCTCGCTTTCCCCGCTTCTCCCCTTTTTTCTGCGCTTGCTGCTCCATCTTCACTCCCCGCCTCGGCCCCTTGAGCTGAGCTTTTGCCTGTACCTTTCCCTGATCTTTTCCCTGCACATTCACCTGAACTTTCACTTGTGTTTTGCCCTGCGCTTTGGAGCTGCTTTGCTTCTGCCCTGTGACAGTGGCGCCACCAGCCACGTCAGCATCGTATGCATGTGCTGCATGCTGCTGTTGCTGCTGCTGCTGATTCTGCTGATGCTGTTTATGCTGCTTCTGTTGATGTTGCTGCTGCTGCGAAGTATTGAGATGCTGGTGATGGTGATGATGATGGTGCTCCGCGTCAGCAGCAGCAGGAGAAGCGAGCATAGCCAGTTCTAGATGACACTGCAGCGGGGAAGCGGAGCATGCATGGGGGCAAGAGACGGGAGGAGATGAGGGGGTGATTAAAATAGAAGAAGCGATGGAGCAGAGAGGGCGTACTGTACTTGAGAAATTTCAAGAAAGAAGAAACGGTGCCAGGTGCCACAGACGCCATGTGGCGCAACGCATGCAAACAGAAACCAACCAACGGACCTGCGCCATGTGGCGGTGCGCAGCGGAGTGCAGGTCCCTCCTGGGCTGAGACATCCGCTCCTCCGGCAGCGCTGCCACTGCTGCCGCTGCCGCTTCAAACGCACTCAATGCCTGGCCAGGAGGGAAAGGAAGATTGGCATAAGAAAGTAGGGAGAATTAGGAGAAATGCAGAGGGATGGGCTGAGACATCCTCTCATCCGGCAGCGCCGCCACTGCTGCCGCTGCGGCCTCAAACGCGCTCAACGCCTGGCCGAGAAAGTGATCAAGTGACAGGGAACTTGGCATAAAAAAGGGGGGAGGATGTGGAGAAATGCAGACACGCACATATGGGATACGGCATCTGACACCTCCAGCAGGGCTCAAATCACAACGTCTGGAAGAAGAGAATTTTCCAAAACACGAACGCATACGCTTTTTCCCAAGATCCACTCCCTCGCACTGCAGGATAATGTTCGTGAAGGAAATTCGCCATTGGAAAAGCGCTCATCCCTTGGGAAATTGGGCTCGCGGAACTTTGCACGCGCGCATGCGTTTGCGAAGCGCGAAAACGCGCGCGCCCATGGTTCACGGGAACAGCTCTGCCAGAAAGCCGCGCGTGTTCAGTAACTGGGCGGAGTCTTCGCGCCAAAGCCTCGCGAGAACGAACTTCCGCGAGTACCCGAACACCCCGCGCATATTCCGCGGAAGCGTGCGCGCGTATTCCGCGGAAGCGTACGCGCGCGTACCTTGGCGGGTTGATGCTCGCGGAGAAAGTGCAGCGCGAGGAAGAAATGCACCTCGGGGCTCTTGGGCTGCCGCTTCGCCATGTTCAGTAGCGCCTGCGGCGGCGACGGGACGAGTGTGGGAAACGAACGGGCAGTTTAAGAATCAGATACGCAGTTGAGTATGTGTGGGAACGAGCTGACGCTTCGCCATCTCCAGTTGCGTTTGCGACGGGACGAAGTGAAAGAAACGGGAGGGAAGTTGACGCATTAAGCACGAGGCAGTCACGGAACGACGCCATGGATGCTAGGAGTAGCGGGACTGGGCGGAGTGGCAGATCCAAAAGGAAATGCCAAGCGGCGGAGTCAGCGGCTAGATCCGTAGTTTCGACTCTATTTTAAGCATATCTGTCAGCCGATTTCGCTAGTCGTACTAATTTTCTGGGGTCTGTCGAGACACCGACCGTCTGACATCCACCTTTTTTCTGCGCGGATAAGGAAGGCAGTCCTAGTCGCCGTCGTCACTGTCTACGCAAGACGAGCAGCGAATCTACCAGAGATCCAACGACTGAATTAACGAACGATGGCGAATAGTTGCGATTCTCGCCTGTGACGGCGGCGACCGTCACGGTAGTACCAGCGCAAAACCATGTGGAAACAAGTGGCGTTTGCGACGTCTGGAAACAGACCGGAAGCATGACAGCGTTGACGACGGCGACTGTGTGTGACGGCAGTACTAATGCAATCCGCCACGTCACGGTCTAGAGACGGCGGGGAGACCAAGGATGACCATATAGCGTGACACGCTCTACCAGTGTGCTGTTTTAGCCTGCCGCTGTCTATCTGTCACCAAGCTGGCGAGGATGACGGTACTGAGGCAACGGCAGTGACTTCTGAGTCGACTGAAAAGACACGCTCTACTAGTGCGCCGCTGTAGCCTGCTTCTGTCTATCTGTCACTAAGCTGGCGAGGATGACGCTACTGAGGCAACGGCAGTGGCGCCCTCGTCACGCGACGGGAGAGCATTGAAACTTTGCTCCGATCCTAAATCGGAGAAAATACGGTAAGGCGAGAGGCGACGGAGGGATGAATCAATGGCATCAAGGCTGCGGGAGATGATTGGCAGTCGACGCGACGTACTGCTTTCAAGATCTTGGATCGGTCTTGAGCCGATTGGCAGGGTGGCGACGACGAAGACAACTGTCCCTGCTTCGCGGCTTGCTCCTTCGTCGCCTGCTCCTTTGTCGCAGGCTGCTTCGTCGCCGGCTGCTTCATCGCCTGCTGTTTTGTCGCCTGCTGCTTCGTCGCCTGATGCTTCGTCGCCTGCTGCTTTGTCGCCGGCTGTTTCGTCGCCGGCTGCTTCGTCGCCTGCTGTTTCGTCGCCTTCTTCATCGCCGGATCCTTCGTCGCTTTTGAGCAGTGCGCGGCTTGGACCTTCGCCTCCTCCGACGAGTCTTCAAGAGGCCGTTTTCCCTGTGCTTTAGTAAGAGGCGCCTTCCCTTTGGCACTCGCGGCTACCGCCGACGGTTCGCCGTTTCCCCTCGAAGCCGTCGTCATCTTCGCCGTTGTCGCCGTCGTCGTCGCGGTCGTCATGGGCTCCTTCCCGTGCTTCTTGCCGCTCGCCGATGCGCCATTGGCCGTTGCTGAGGGCCGCTCCCGCTTTGCGGTGCGGACGCGCTTCGTCTCTCCCCCGCCTCCCGCCGGGATTTCCGGTGTCTTCGCAACGATCACAGGGTTTCTAGCTGGTGGAGCGCCAGGCGTCAGCGCGACGGGCAGCGGTGGCCGATTCTTTGATGAGGCGACGCGATTGGCTCGTGGTCGTCCAGGGGATTTTGTCGCAATCGACGCTGGTTTCTCCGATTTGCTCGCTCGAGAAGATTCGACGCGAATCGACGTCATTTTAGGAAGTCGATGTTGGCTGGATGAGGTAAGAATTGGATGAACTACTGCGTGTGAAGCCTAAGAAACGGAGAGGAGAAGCACGGAAATGTAAAAATGAAGCAGGGAATAAACGGATGTGAACGGTGATTAAGGATCTAGTGGTTTACGTCTAGAACGGAAAAATAACCGCGGAAAGAGGGTTTGCTAATACATGAGGAAGGATTAAACGCGATGCGGTCAACAAATTACTAAAACCACGCATACCACACATCCTTTAAACTCGTATCGCAGTGCTGGTACTGGCGATCTAGCTAACACGGCAGACGCATTTTTTGAAATTACTGCCATGACATGGCAGTGTGGGACGCTTATACTAAGCAGGGTTGGTGAGTTCAGGAATTGCTGATTGATTCTGTGAGCTGTGTAATTCTGGTTGTGGCTATGACTGACTGACCCTGTTGGGCACTTCAATCTGAGCTTGCCTGTTTTCCTCCCTGGAAGCCAGTTATTCAGGAATCAGGAAAGGAAGAAGGCAAGCCAACTTCCAGATGGCCGCTCTCCTTGGCTCTGCTGTGCTCTGCTGCTGGTGCTGAGGGCTGTTTGGCTCTTCTCCTCGGCCCTGCTGTCTGCTGCTCTCCTTGCCCCACCCCGCCTCGCCTCGCCTCGCCTCGCTTTCTCATCAATCTGCTTCGCTCAATCCGCCTCGTTCAACCCCTCGACCAGTTTTCGTCTTCCCCTTCGGACCATCTCTCCCGCCACATACATCCGTGCGCCTGCTTCCTCCCCATCCCATCCCATCCCTTCCCCAACCCCGTATCTTTGGCTGGAGCCTGGTGGGGCTCGCCCATTCGCTCCGCTCGTTCGTTCCACTCGCTGCCCGTTTCTACTCATCGATGTTAGATTTGAGTTTGCCATCCGCACTGTTGTACGGTACTGTACAAGCCCGCCATCGGGTTAGGGAGGGGGGAGAAGTTCCGCCGCGCTAGACCTTGCTGCTGCTGCTGCTGGTGCGCGCCTCTCCCTGTTTCGACACTCGACTGTTTCTGTCGCTGGCGCTCCTCGAAGTTCTCGAGGTTCCCTCTGCCCCGATAGGGTGTTTGTGTTTTCGCTCCGCCACGCCATTCCGTGGCGTCACGGCCGTCCCCCACTCAACTCAGCTCTTCACGACCACCCAACCTCGCGCCGCGGTTTCGTTTCCGCGCTTGCGACGACCACTGGGGCGGAAAATGAGGAATCGAGGGCTCGCTCCCTCGCTTGCTGAGCTTTGCATGGTCAGGGGAGTTGTGTCACTGTACACGCCGGGAAACACTTTCAGCATCCGCCCTCCACCGCCTCGTGCAGTTTGCCCCACATCAGCATTGTTTGGACGGTAGTGCATTGCTGCTGGATGCGAAAAAAGACAAACGTCTCACCCTGCGCGCTTCGGTGTTCGTAATCTGGATCCTGGCTGCTGGCGAAAAGGATTGAGGGAGGGAAGGGGACTGCGGAGCGGAGGGTTTCAAATTTCGGTCGGGGGAAGCGGTAATGGAAAGGGGGAAACAAAAAGCATCCGAGCGGTGTGCGTCCTCTTGTGTGGAGAGCGGAACATTGCGGAGCGGAGGGAGAGCACACAGTCGCCGCAAAGCCATTTTGACTCTGCCTTCATCGTCTGGTCTGGGCTGGATGCTCCTCGTCCGCTGTCGTTGTCACCACACCACCATGTCAAACGCCGCCTGGAATACCCCTCCCGATGTTCTCCACCGGATTACGATTACGACCGTTCGTTGTTCTGTACGAGAGGAATCACGACCGTTCGATCATCCATGGTTCGGATGTGCTGGATGCAGATGGGTTGAAGTTTTGAACTGGTTATTGGCCCTTGTCCAATGATAATGGGCAACCCAAATGAAGCAGCAAGTGACAGTGACGACGAGACGATGTGATTGATGTGGCTTGTTGCATCATGGAATTGGTCCGTCCGTAACATGAAATTTTGAAGGAATAATTTCCAGCATCGTTTGGGAAGTTGAGACTGGTACCCCAATCTCTAGTTACAGCATAATGACTCGCTCGGTTCCAGGAACACAGGTTCGCAAACCCACTTACACTTTATACTGTACACGTAAGCCCCCAGCTGGTTGAGCAAAGTTTTTTTTAAGGCACGACCGGATCACTGTAGCACAGCATGAATGGGCGGGTGGAGTTCTGCTTCTGACTGACGCGCTCCGTGTGCAACATGCACAGCGTGCGTGCTCCAGCAGATGATACTGTAGCCTTGGAGGTCCAGTCACCAGTCGAGAAGTTTAGCCTTCAGCAACCAGCTTTTCAGGAGGCAAAGCAACAAAACCCTCGTGAGTGCCAGGTGCCAGTGATGACCAATGCGACGCTGCCACGCGTGGTAGTTCACTTCCAGTGCTACGTTTCGATTGAACTCGCTACAAGATCACTCTCTCGCTACAAGATCACTCTCATCAGCCTTCAAGTGAATGGTGTAGAAATGTGAGCATATAAAAGTTACTGCGAAACTTATACATGCTCACACCTCTACACCTCCACATCCAAGCTCCATGCTTCACTCGTCTCCTCCACACACACCTAGGTTTCATCCACACCGGCTGCGACCCCGTGGTCACGTCACCGGCTGCTACATCGCCATGACGCGAGCTTCCAAGAGATGCCATCAATGTGTCCACGCAACGGACATTGTACCTCTTAGCATTATGGCTAATCCCGATGCTGACCTGGCAGTTACTGAAATTACCGCGGCTTTAATCACTGTTACGGATTAACCAACTACCTCACAGGGTGTTCTGACAAGGGAGTCTCAAGTGTATCGACTTATGTCACTTTTCCCGAGCCTTGAAACTGGTTCCTGGATAACATCAAAGCTGCAATGGCACTGGAGCAAGGATGTCAAGAAGCTACTTAAGCAGCCATTGTTCAGTCTGGCAGCACAACTTTTCTTCTTCCATTCTGACATCAACGCCACGCTGCTGCTCTATCATCATCACAACATGCCGCCTAAGACCTCCAAGGCCACCAAGCTACCTGCTGATACGTCGTCTGGTGGCCAGGAGAATACTGACAACATCGACTCTCCTGCATCAGACAAGTCACCGACGAAGAATCAGGAGAATGGTCGTGACAATGGCAAGCAGCCGGACATGGGTGCTGGGAGTTCCGGTTTATCTGTTGCCGAAAAGGCAGTTTCGCTTACTGATGATCTGATTGATGATGATCCTGAC